ATTGAGGGCCACATCAGGGTTGTGTTTGTCCTCGGGGTGGGTGGTTGGGGGAGCCTGGCCAGGGTGGTTGTGGCCAGCTCAACATCACTTGTGTCGAGGGCACCCGAGTGCTCTGCCAGCAAAAACGGAGCTGCGCGCGGGCCTCCCGAGCTCCATTTTCACTGGCAAGAGGCACCACAAGCCGGTCCTTCGCTGTTTCCAGGGCGGCTCCGCGGGCCAGATCTAAACACCCCGTGGGATCATATCACCCCTGTTCTAGAGTGTCAACATCTTATTTATTTCGTGGCAACCGAAACCGAATGCAATATTTCAAGCACACACACACAACACAGCAGAAACAGGTGTCTGCAGGAGGGGCGTGCAGATACTATATCAGACGGTGCTAAACATTTTTTGGATTTATATTTAAACGACTGATGCAAAGTTTCCTGCGCTGGTGTTTGAACAGATGGCTGCCCTTTCATTAGTCTGCTTTTGCCTGACAAGCCAATCACAAAAATTGGGGGTGGGGGGAAACTCCTGAATTGAAAACTTATAATAATATAAAATCAGGGGTGGGCTGCTGAGGGTTCGCAGGGGTTCGGGAGAACCTCTAGCTAAGATTCTGTGTAGTTCGGAGAACCCCCAAATCCCACTCCTGGCTGGCCCTTCCCACCCCACCCCTCCCCTCCTAGGAGTCCCCACATGGCCCATTTTGGATGCAGGTAAGTGTAGGGCACATGCGGAAGCTTGGGTAGGGTGAAAAACAGGCCTACCGGAAGTTCGGGAAGGCCGGAAACGGGCCTGTTTCCAGCCTGCAGAGGGCCTCCGGAGCCTGGGGTGGCTGGTTTTGCCCTCCCGGAGGCTCAAGGAAAGCCTCCGGAGCAGGGGTGAAATGCTCCCGGTTCGGACAGGCTCGGGTGAGTAGGTAGCGATGGCGGTGGGCAGTTTGGAGAACCGGTAGCAAAAATCCCTGCCCCTGCCCCCCATGCCCAGCTGAGCCGCGTAATCATCAGAGGCTTTTTGTCTTTTAAGTGCCTCTGACGAGCCAAGCTCTGACGATCCCAGCTGAGTTGCCTGCCGATCAGGTAACTCAGCTTGGATCGTCAGAGCCATTTAAAAGAAAAAAAGTTTTTTTTCTTTTAAATGGCTTTGACGATCCAAGCTCTGACGATCCCAGCTGAGTTGCCTGTAACAAATTTTAGATTTCACCACTGCTCCGGAGCCCAAGGAGGGCAAAAAGCTCCCCCCTCCCCCCGCCGTGGTGCAGGCGGCCGACCAGACCACGCCCACCATGGCCATGCCTACGCAGCAACCAGGCACGGAACCCCTTGCTAAAATTTTTGAAGCCCACCCCTGTATAAAATTATAATTATTGCAAGGAAACTAGGATGGACATTGTTCTGTCCTGAAACTGAACTAACAGGTGAGGCTCTGGCCTCATACCCTCTGAAAAAGGACACTGTTTACCTTAGGTGAGGCTTATAAAAGCACCAAGAAAACTAACTAAGAGTCCAAAGTCTGAATAAGTACTGAGCGTGCCTATGTATAGCAAGGAGGTATTTCACAATGGAGAAAAAAACAAAACAAAAACCCAGATCAAATGTAAACTCGGTGAGTGAAGCAAGGAAGAATATTCCCAATCAGAGGTAAGGAAGGTGCAGCTTAGATGATGTCAGATTCAATCCTGTCATATGCTAATTCTCCGTGCTGGCTGGGACCGTTTCTTGAAGTTCAGCATTTGGAGAGACACAAATTCTTTGCCCTTCTTCCTTGCAATTTTATGTTATTTCTGTAACAACATAGAACAGGGGTCTCCAAACCTGGCAACTTTTAAGATGTGTGGACTTCAACTCCCAGAATTCTGGGAGTTGTTAAGGCTAGATCCATCCGCTCTGGCTGGCTGAGGAATTCTGGGAGTTGAAGTCCACATGTCTTAAAGTTGCCAAGCTTGGAGATCCCCGGCACAGAATTAAATTGGATTCGCACTCATGGGATCACCAGATCTGGCTCCTTTCTTGAAATGGGCAATAACCACAAGGAAGAGCAGAACTAAAACCCTCAATTTAAAACCTGCTAATAATTAATCATCCAATGAGCACTGAGAAAATACCATCAATGAAGCTTGAAGTAACAGCTGGATGATGCTCCGAAGAAGCTTTCATTTTAATATAAGTTGCATATTTTGGGGGTATATCTGAAATTCTCCCTGTGCAACTTTTCTCCCTTCAAAATTTGGAAGGAAACAAAATCCTTTTGCATCAAGGAAATGCCTACAAAATTATCCCAAACAGAAGCTGGGGCAGCTGCTAGAAGCAGCTTCTAAACAAAATGGGTTGGACCCAGAGGTGAAATCCAACAGGTTCTGACAGGTTCTAGAGAACCAGTAGCGGAAATTTTGAGCAGTTCGGCGAACTGGTAGCGGAAATTTTGAGCAGGTTGGCGAACTGGTAGCGGAAATTTTGAGTAGTTCAAAGAACTGGCAAATACAATCTCTTGCTGGCCCCAAAGTGGGGTGGGAATGGAGATTTTCCAATATCCTTCCCCCAGGAGTGGGGAGGGAATGGAGATTTTGCAGTATTCTTCCCCTGCCATGCCCACCAAGCCACACCCACAGAACCGGTAGTAAAAAAATTTGGATTTCATCACTGATTGGACCATCTGTTGCTGAACTCCAACTCCCCCATCAGATCTAGCTGGTGTGACCAACCATGAGGGACATTGGGAACTGCAGTCCAACAACTGTGAACGGGACCCATAAATTGCTATTAACCTTGCTTTCATCTTACTGAGTGATTAACTAATTCTTAGAAGGTTCCAATATTGAAAAGGGGAATACTGAACATTTTAAGCAGAATAATAGAATATCAGAGTTGGAAGGGACCTTGGAGGTCTTCTAGTCCAGCCCCCCACTCAGGCAGGAAACCATATACTATTTCAGACAAATGGTTGTCCAATCTCTTTTTGAAAACTTCCAGTGTTAGAGCACCCACAACTGCTGGAGGCAAGTTGTACCGCTGATTAATTGTTCTCGCTGTCAGGAAATTTCTCCTTAGTTCTAGGTTGCTTCTCTCTTTAATGATCATTCACCCATTACTTCTGCCCACAGGTGCTTTGGAGAATAGATCAACCCCTCTTCTCTGTCATAGCCCTCAAATATTGGAAGATGTCTTTGTTAGACTAGACAATTCTGCAACCGTTCTTCGTATGTTTTAGCCTCCAGTCCCCTCATCACCTCGTTCCACCTTGTTCTTCTCTGCACTCTTTCTAGGGCCCCAACATCTTTGGTCATATTGTGAAAGGGGTACTATCCCTTCACGAGATTTTGAAAACATCCTTCTGTTAATGTAACCTAGGAGTGCAGAGTTGTATCACACCTGTTGGGTCTGGGTAGAGAGTTGAGTTGCACAACAGCAAAGTAAAGTAAAGAGCTGTGCCATTCCACTGTAGGAAGTTAGCACCCACCCCTCTCCTAGGAAAATGAGATATTTTAGGAAATATTAAAAGGGCAGAATATTTCCCCTAAAAGGGAGGCAGAAACTCGGCCCCCTCCCCTTTGTCAATGGGCCATCAAGGCCTGGGCCAGTCTATTCCACATAATAGTAATCTACTCACGGCTGTCTTTAGAAGAGCATATGATGGCCGTAGCCAGGGGGGCTTTTTATCAGGTTCGCCTGATCCGCCAGTTGCGTCCCTTTCTGGACGGGGATGCCTTGCGCAGTCACTCACGCCCTCGTCACCTCTCATCTGGACTATTGTAATGCTCTCTACATGGGGCTCCCCTTGAAGAGCACTCGGAGACTCCAACTGATCCAGAATGCGGCCGCGCGGGTGGTTATGGGCGCACCTCATTACGCCCATGTAACACCTCTCCTGCGCGAGCTGCACTGGCTCCCAATGGTCTTCCGAGTGCAATTCAAGGTGTTGGTTACCACCTTTAAAGCGCTCCATGGCGTAGGACCAGGATATCTACGGGACCGCCTTCTTCCACCGACAGCCTCCCACCGACCAGTTCGCTCCCACAGAGAGGGTCTCCTCAGGGTACCGTCGGCCAAGTTATGTCGGCTGGTGACACCCAGGAGGAGAGCCTTCTCTGTCGGAGCTCCTGCCCTTTGGAATGAATTGCCCCCGGATATTTGTAACATCTCTGACCTCCGGGTCTTTCGCTGTGCCCTCAAGACCCTACTGTTCCGATAGGTGGGGCTGTCTAACTGAATGATTTTAAATTGGGTTTTAATTTTGGGTTTTAAAATTTGGCCAATACTATTCAATGATTTTGATTAATTTTAACTATGATATTGTATATTTATGTTTTAATTCTGGCTGTACACTGCCCCAAGTCCTTCGGGAGAAGGGCAGTATATAAATAAAATTATTATTATTATTATTATTATTATTATTATTATTATTATTATTATTATTATTATTATTATTATTATTTCCTTCAGGCAGAGCCATAGTAGGAATTGCCCAAAGCCCTTTCATTACATCATCACCCAGCAAGGCTCAACCAAGTCTGGGACATAGACAACCTACAAAGTTACCCCTGCATGGCCCCATGGGAGTCTGACAACCAATCGGAATACAAGCTCAAATTCAAAGCCCAACAGAGGAGTAGAAATCTCTCTCTCTTTCTCTCTCTCTCTCTCTCTCTCTCTCTCTCACCCATGTACCTTTTTGCCCAAGATCTCAAACCATGTGGTCCTGTCTACCATTAAACACCATCTTTCCAAACAGCCACCATGTTTCCAGCGTCTTTCTCCCCGCTTGGAACTGAACCCAGAAGGATATTTCTTCCAACAGCACTATAATGATTGTATCTGGCTCCTCAAAGGCAGTTTGCGCGTGGCCCCGTTGCTCCTGCCTTTCAGAGCTGATGCATTTGAGCCGAACTGGAAATTCCTAAAATAATAAAAGCGCATAATGGCACAGGATGAATTCTCTCGGGGCACTTTGGGCCGTTTCCAGGTCATGGAGAAGTTAACAGCCTTGGTCTGTTTTTTTCTAAACCAAAGGACAGATTACAAAACTATGTCAACTTTTATTATTAACAAGAACTGAAGGCTTAAATACATTCTACCCGTGCGAGGTGCAATCTGGATGCCTCTTTGAGGGACTGAAAACTGGGCCCGCATATTCATTTGGAGAGCTTCTTCTCTTTTTCCTTGGCTTGCTCTATTTTCTTTTCCTGACATCTGATCATGGTGGACATTGCTAGAAGGAAAGGGATGGTTGTTACCACCACATAGGTCTGGAAGGCAAACGGCATCTCTCTCATGTCTCCAGGTTGTGTAGAAATGGCTCTTGGGGGTGGTTAAGGAGGAACCAGGTTACAAACCAGGAGACTGTGAGTTCTAGACTCACCTTAGGTATGAAAGTCATCTGAGTGACTTTGGCCCAGTCACTAGGAGACTGGGGATTCTAGTTCTACCTTAGGCATGAAAGCTGGCTGGGTGTCTTTGGGCCAAACATCAGGAGACTGTGGGTTCTAGTCCTGCCTTAGGCATGAAAGTTGGCTGGGTGACTAGGCCAATCACCAGGAGACTGTGAGTTCTAGTCTCGCTTTAGGCATGAAAGCCGGCTGGGTGACTTTGGGTCAACCCACAGGTGATGATGAGTTCTAGTCCTGCCTTTGGCATGAAAGCCGGCTGGGTGACTTTGGACCAATCACCAGGAGACTGTGAGTTCTAGTCCCGCCTTTGGCATGAAAGCTGGCTGGGTGACTTTGGACCAATCACCGGGAGACAGTGAGTTCTAGTCCCACCTTAGGCATGAAAGCCAGTTGGGTGACTTTGAGCCAATCACCAGGAGACTGTGAGTTCTAGTCTCGCTTTAGGCATGAAAGCCGGCTGGGTGACTTTGGGCCAATCACCAGGAGACTGTGAGTTCTAGTCCCGCCTTAGGCATGAAAGCCGGCTGGGTGACTTTGGGCCAATCACCAGGAGACTGTGAATTCTAGTCTGCCTTAGGCATGAAAGCCGTCTGGATGACTTTGGGCCAGTCTCTTTCTCTTAGCCCTACTCATTTCACAGTTGTTGTTGCAAAAATAGGTGGAAAAAGAAGTATTAGGTATGTTCGACACCTTGAGTCATTTGTAAAAATAATAAAGGGTGGGGACGATACTCATAAATAAATAAAAATAAAAGGCGAGCGCCCTCTGCGGGATCCCTTCCCATCCAGAGCAACCTTCTTCCAGATGTAAGAGCTGCCTTCCTCCCTTTAAGATTCAGGAAGCTTTTAGAAACATGCTTTTTTTCAGGAAGCAACAGGGGACTCGAGCAATAAGGGGTTATAAATAAATAAATAAATAAATAAATAAATAAATAGGCACCTGGGCACACCTGAGCACCACGCTTTAATGTTTGTAATACCAGAATTGCTGATTGTATTTTGCCATGTGACACACTGACGTTTCGATAGATGTGTTATGCATTTGCATGATGATCTTGTAAGATGCTTTTAATCAGGGGTGTCAAACTCAAGGCCCGTGGGCTGGATCCGGCCAGTAGTGGGTTTCAAACCCGTCGCTAGTGGGAGTGCGCGCGCCCACGCCCAACACTTCTGCACATGCCCAGAAGCATCCGGGCGGGTGGGCGGAGCTTCCTGCGGCCGCCGCTACCGGTTAGGGTGAGGGTTATAAATATGCAAGGATAAAGCCCAATTTCCCCTACCTTGGTTTTTTAACTGCATTGTTTCCACCAGGTTTTGTAGATTCTCCATCTTATTCTGTAATTTTCTGCAAGTATTTTCTCTGGATTCCCCCGTCTGAATCGCTAGGGATAAAAAATAGCCAGTCATATAAACTATCAGAGATATAAAAAGCACACACATGCAGAGGCGGGGCTGCCAGCGATAAAGGAAAAGGCACCAGTCAGCTCATACCATTCTGTGTATTAGGAGCAACACATGATTAACACTGCTCAACGGTAATTGTGTCGATCTACAACAGAGGTGTCAAACTGGATTATTTCAAGTGCTGGATCAGCATTGTAGTTCTCCCCCGTGGACGGTGCTGGGGGGGGCTGAGGGGAGAAGGGACAGACACCTCCTGCAGCACCCTGTCGGCCAAAACAGGGTGCAGGGGGTGTGTGCCCCATTTTCGGCCTTCATGCCCCCCTCAGCACTCTGCCGGCCAAAACAGGTTGCGGGGGGAGGACGTGTGAGGCCCTCCCGCAATCCATTTTCGGTCGGCAGAATGCTGCAAGAGGCTGTGGAGGCCGAAAATGGGCTGCGGGGGGCTGCATACAGAAACCCCCCATGCCAGAGGTGGGTTTCAGTAGGTTCTGACCAGTTCTGGAGAACCGGTAGCGGAAATTTTAAGTAGTTTGGAGAACCGGTAGTAACAATTCTGGCCCAACCCCCATCTATTCTCTGCCGCCCAAGTCCCAGCTAATCGGGAGGAAATGGGGATTTTGCAGTAACCTTCCCCTGCCACGCCCACCAAGCCACACCCACAGAACCAGTAGTAAAAAAAATTGAAACCCACCATTGCCCTATGCCCATGGCCAGCAGAGGCACTGCGGGCCGGTCCTTTGATATTTCCAGGCCAGCCCCATGGGCCAGATCTAAGCATCCTGCAGGCCGGATCCGGCCTTGAGTTTGACAACCCTGATCTACAACATTACATTATCATTTACAAAGTCCTGGTTGTTCCAGAGCCAAACTAGATTGTCGGGACTGGCAGAACTGCTCAGGTTTCTCCCCATAGAAACAAAGTTCATGGATTCCAGAATATACAGTCCCCTCCTTATGACCGCAATAGGAATCAGAATTCCCACTGCTAAACAAGGTGGTTGTTAAGTGAGCCACATCTAATTTTACTCCCCCCCTTTTTTATGCCAAAGTTGTTATGAACTGTTGTTCACAATTAAGCGAGTAAGTGTTAAGCGAATCACTGCAATCGTTAAGTGAATCGCACAGTCCTTAAGCGAATCTGACTTCCTCCATTGTCTTTGCTTGTCAAAAGCCGGCTGGGAAAGTTGCAAACAGAGATGGCGGGATTCCTGGATGCCGCAACCATCACAAATACATGCAGGTTGCCAAGGCGCCTGAATTTTGACCGTGGGAATGCTACCATGGTTGTAAGCACGAAGACCAGCCCTAAATCATTTTTTTCCCCCAGTGCCATTGTCTAAACGGGTGGTTGAAAACTGAGGACTATCTATATGCATTGCTCCTTCCATGAAAAAGAAGTGTGAATATTTCCACTGCCCCTTTAAAGAATGGTGGGATTCAGCCGGTTTCGGCCGGTTTGAGTGAACCAGTAGTTAAATTGCTGGCTGGTCCTGCCCTGCCCCACCCCTTTCAGGAGTCCCTACGCGCCCCATTTTGGCTCCCAGATAAGTGTAGGGAGGCCTACTAGGCCCAAAATGGGGAGCGGGGGTGTGTGGCACGCCTCCACTCATGGCCCGTTTTCATTCCCAAGAGGCTGCAGGGAGGCCTACTAGGCCCGAAACGGGGCACAGAGGGAACAGTGCGTCCCCCCCGCCCGCGGCCCGTTTTTGCTCCCAGGGGGGTGCAGGAGGCCGGTTGCTGTCTGTCACACCCCCTGGTCATGCCCACCATGGTCACGCCCACCCAGCCGGTCATTAAGGCAGACAGCCGGTTGTTAAATTATTTGAATCCCACCACTGTTTAAGGACTAAAGCTGCTTCTGCTAAGGGAGAAGAAGGCAACATAAGCAGTGATGTTTGTCTCTGTCCATCTGTCCTTCGTTGTGAATGCTTCATCCCTGGAGGTTTTTAAGAAGAGACTGGACAGCCACTTGTCCGAAATGGCATAGGGTCTCCTGCTTGAGCAGGGGGCTGGACTAGAAGACCTCCAAGGTCCCTTCCAGCTCTATTCTGATTCTTTTTACATAAAGCAGTTTTTCTCAACCTTGGCCGCAAGGTTGAGAAAAACAGTGGTGCAGGTAGAATATGTATCGATGGTGTAGCTGGAGCTCCCTTATCATGTGTACTTTGGCCTCAAATTTGCATTGGTTGTTTTTTTAACCAAAGAACATAGGCAAAACAACTAGGTTTACACGAAGGTACACAAAATAGAGAAAGAGGAGACAACGGACATGTTAAAATTTCCCGGGACCAAATCCCTCTCATTAAGTGAATAAATTGCATGACAAAACAACTAGAACGTTTTTTCCCCTGTGCTGTCACTCTGCTGAACACCTGCCTGTAATTCCCACAGCACTGTCTTGGGCCTAAAGCTTTTTTTACCCCATGTAGTGTGGCTGTATTGCTATTAGCCTTCTCATCTTCTCTTTCCTCATCTTTCCTAATACCTTCTCCTGTTGGTATCTTATGATTTATCACTGGTTGCTTGTATCTTATGATTAGTGATTGTAACTATGATTTATGATCTATGATCTATCACTTTGTTGCCTGTATGTACACTGAGAGCTTACGCACTGGAGACAAATTCCTTGGGTGTCCAATCACACTTGGCCAATAAAGAATTCTTTTCTTTTCTTTTCTTTTCTTTTCTTTTCTTTTCTTTTCTTTTCTTTTCTTTTCTTTTCTTTTCTTTTCTTTTCTGTTCTGTTCTGTTCTGTTCTGTTCTGTTCTGTTCCATTCCATATTTTCCATTCCATTCTATTCTATTCTATTCTATTCTATTCTATTCTATTCTATTCTATTCTATTCTATTCTATTCTATTCTATTCTATTCTATTCTATTCTATTCCATTCCATTCCATTCCATTCCATTCCATTCCATTCTTAGTCTTCAAGTTACGACCTCAACCGACCCCAACATTTCTGTTGTTGAATGAGATAGTTGTTAAGTGAATTTTGCCCCATTTTACCACCTTTCCTGCCACAGTTGTTATGTGAATCACTACAGTTGTTAAGTTAGCAATATGGTTGTTAAGTGAATCGGGCTTCCCCATTGACTTTGCTTGTTAGGAGGTTGCCAAAGGGGATCACATGAGCCCGGAATACTAAAACCGTCATAAATACGAGTCAATTGCCAAGCCTCTGAATTTTGACCACGTGACCATGGGGATGCTGCAATGGTCGTAAGTGTGGAAAACGGTCATAAGTCACTTTTTTCAGTGATGTTGTATCTTTGAACGGTCACTAAATGAACTGTTGTAAATCTAGGACTATCCTATCCTATCCTATCCTAAATGAAGCCCACCTTGGACTGACCTTACCAGCAAGAACCATGAAATGCAAATAGTCCTTGACTTACGACCAGATTGGGACCGGAATTTGTGTCAATAAGCAAGGTGGTTGTTAAGCGACCTGTACTCAATTTTATGACCTTTTGGTCCTGGTTGTTAAGGGAATCACTGCAGTTGTTAAGTGAATCACACAGTCATTAAGCGAATCCGGCTCTCCCCCCCCCCCTTTGACATTGACTCTGTCAGCAAAGCCGTCTGGGAAGGTTGCAAATAGCCATCAGGTGACTCCAGCAGGCTGCAAGTGTTGTAAATGCAAGCCGGCTGCCCTGTGCCCAAATTTTGATCAAGCGACCGTCTTAAGTCCGCCTTATTTATTATTTATTTTATTTATTTTATCATATTTGTATACCGCCCTACTCCCGAAGGACTCAGGGCGGTGAACAGCCAAAATAAAATACAAAGACATGCAAAAGTTAAAAAACTATTAAAAACAGATTAAATAATTTAGGCTCACAAAAACAAATTAAGACATCCAATTTATCTAAAAAACATTTAAAACCCAATTTAAAAGCCAATTTAAAAGGGAGAGTTAGTCCAGACCAGCCTGTTGGAATAAAAATGTTTTTAGGGCGCGGCGGAAGATGCGTAAGTCTTGAATCCTCCGTATCTCCCGGGGGAGCTTGTTCCAGATGGCGGGTGCCCCCACAGAGAAGGCTCTCCCCCTGGGGGCCGCCAGTTGACATTATTTGGCCGACGGCACCCTGAGGAGCCCCTCTCTATGGGAGCGAACTGGTCGGTGAGAGGCTACTGGTGGCAGAAGGCGGTCTCGTAAGTACCCTGGTCCTGAGCCTTGTGCATCAGCTGTGCCCTTATTTGGACCAAGATGCCCTACGCACCGTTACTCATGCGCTGGTCACCTCCCGTCTCGACTACTGCAACGCTCTCTACCTAGGGCTGCCCTTGAAAACCACTCGAAGGCTTCAACTGGTCCAGAATGTCCCGACACTCCCATGTTACACCCCTCCTGCGCGACCTGCATTGGCTACCGGTTGCCCTTCGGGTGAGGTTCAAGGTGCTGGTTATCACCTATAAAGCCCTTCTTGGTCTAGGCCCGGGATATTTGTCGGACCCCCTGCAGCCAGCAACAATCTCCAATCGCCCGGTGCTTTCCCACAGACAGGGCCTCCTCAGGGTGCCATCGGCCAGACAATGTCGGCTGGCGACCCCCAGGGGGAGAGCATTCTCTGTGGGCGCACCCACCCTTTGGAACCAACTTCCTTTGGAGCTCCGGATGGCCCCTGACCTTCGCTCGTTCCGCCGTGATTTGAAGACCTGGCTGTTTCACAGCCTGGACTGATGGGGGCGGGGGGGAGTTCTTAATAGATTTTAAATTGATTTTAAATTGTTTTAATTTGGACTTTTAATTTTATATTGTTTTAATGTGCAATTGTGCATTTTATTGTTGTGTGCCGCCCTGAGTCCATTGGAGATAGGGCGGCATATAAATCGCATTAAACTTAAACTTAAACTTAAGTGCAAGGACTCGCCGAAAGTCACTTTTTTCAGTTCTGCTGTAACTTCGAACGGACACTAAACAAATGGTTGTTAAATCAAGGGTAACCTTGCCTTGGCCAATGCAGTCCATAAAAGTGACTATAGTCATCATCTTCTTTTAACGACCCCATAATCCCTCGTAGGGTGGAGTCTGGGCAACTGAATGGATCTGAGTGTTTACTGGCCAGATGCCCTTCCTGTCGCCAATGCGGAGTTTTGTTCAGCAGATATATTCTCATTGTGCCCAGAGAGAGAAATATCTGCCTCTACCTAGGATTGAACTCACAGCCTCCTGATTGTGAGGCGAGAGCTCCCCGTCTAGGCCACCGCACCACATAAAAGTGGCTATAGTCCTGTTTCTAAAATCTGTCTCTGTCATTCAATGAAAAAAAAGATTTACTCTATCAACGTCGGGGATCTGTTTAACTGACGATCAAAACCTGCTGATCCCCAGATCCATCAAAGCACTTGTTGTGGCCCATACGCGGCCTGTGTGGCTGGTGGCTGATTCAGACAGCGAGGAGGCTGGTGTGGTGCTGCGCCAGCAGCCTGTGCAGCTGGCACTCGAGTCGGACAATGAGGAGGCTGGAGAAGATGTGGTGCCAGAGGCGGGGATTCAGCCAGGGCCTTCAGAACCTCCAGAAGCTCCCATAAGTGAAGAGGAAGAAGAGGAGGAGCCTCTTCTCGATGCACGGGTGCGCAGAGCTGCCAAAAGGCAGGAGTGGCTCCTCAGGAGGAGGTCTCGAGAGTAAGGCTTGGGGCTAATTGGCCACTCTCTTAGCCTATTTAAAGAGGAACGCCGACTGAAGCAATTTGCAGGGAACAACTTCGTTCACATACCTTCCTGTCTTGTCTTGCTTATCTTATCAGCTTCCTGCAAATTGCTTCTGGGCATTCTGCCAACCATAGTAAGTTTTCAGTTATTCCTCTTTGAATTCTTGGCGGCTGTTAATGCAATTAATTAACAGCCGTTGTTGTAAAAGACTGGTTTATTCAGTAAACTAAGGTTTGAACGGACTTTGTGTGTGCTGCGTTCTTTGGGGTCCGTAGTTGGGGCAGAACAGCACTATGAGGCCTCGTCAAGAGGAGAAATTGCTAGAGCGAAATGAATGTTAGAAGTGGAGTTTAGCCGTCAACCCTCCAGACGGTTTCCCTTCCCTTCCAGCTTTTATCCTAATCCCCAATCTTTAGTAACAGAATAAAGATATCCGCTTATCTTTCAGGGATAATTGAGCCCAAATCCCTGAAATGTTTTATTTGTGGAGGAAAAATATAAAGAGGATGACATTATCCATAAAGGACCCCTGTCATTGGAGAAGGGGGATTGAATTTAAGAATGAGTTTACACTTAGTGGCAAGACAAAATATAGATTACAAGTAATCCTGGATTTACAACCATTCGTATCAGCGGTGGGTTTCCAATATTCTTACTACCGGTTCCCTCCGCGTGCGCATACTCGCTTCACGCATGCGTGCACCTTCCGCACATGCGCCCGGCCTTCCACGCATGCACTTTGCTCGCTCGTGCATCTTCCTCGCATGGACCCACCCACTACCGGTTCACTTGAACCGATACGAACCGGCTGAATACCACCTCTGATTCATATAATAACTATTCGAAATTACGACACTGAAAAAAGTGACATGGCCGTATTTCACTCTTATAAACAGTTACAGCATCCCTGCAACCAGGTGATTCGAAATTCAGATGCTTGGCAGCCGCCTCATATTTATGACGGTCGCAGTGTCCTGGGGTCATGTGATCCCCTTTTGCGACCTTCTGACAAGCAAAGTCCAGGGGGAAGCCAGATTCACTTAACAACCGGGTTACTAACTTCACAACTGCAGGGATTCGCTTAATAAGTGTGGCAAGGAAGTTCGTAAAATGGGGCAAAACTCACTTAACAACCGTCTCGCTTAGCAACAGAAATTGTGGGCTCAACTTTAGTCATAAGTACCTGTACCAGGACTACCTGTATTTTGTTTGACTTGTTGTATTGTACCAAACTGGACTATACGATATTTATTTTCTCATTATTTCTGTGCATCGGAAAAGGAAAAAAAATGCCAATTTTTCCGCAATGAAAACTGAGCCAGAAACAGCTTTATCAGTCACCAGGAATGCAATGGGAAGTTGGGGGGGAAAAAAATACAAATATACTTACAAGTAGAAGTGCTGAAAGAAACACCTATTCGAAAGGGAAAAAAAAAACACTTTTGTGATGTTTCCATTGACAGGAAGAAAAAAAAACCATAGCACTAAAAATTGCTCCTTCATTCCTCTCTCTATGAATTTACGCATGAAAATTACACCATGGTATAAACTAGTCTTTTTTTTTTCAAATTTGGCAGCTTTAAGATTTGTGGAATTCAACTCCCAGAATTCCCTATCCCCCTGGCACAACAATCAAATCAGCCACTTGATCACTTTGGGGCAGTGCTGAAATTCAAATTTTTTTACTACTGGTTCTGTGGGCGTGGCTCGGTGGGCGTGGTGTGGCTTGGTGAGGGGATGGGGATTTTGCAGTATCCTTCTCCTGCCATGCCCACCAAGCCACACCCACCAAGCCACACCCACCGAACCGGTAGTAAAAAAAAAATTGGATTTCACCACTGGTCTGCCACATTTTGAACCAACTGCGGCTTCCAGATATTTTTCCTCAGGGTTTGCTTTGTTAGGAAGAGCTGGTCGTGTCCCTAAAGATCCTCTGTGATTACTTTCGACACTTACTTCGATTGGTGGTCGTGGTTGTGGGTTCTGGGGGGGAGCAGTTCTTCCTCAGACTGGACCGTCGTTCGAAGGAAGGTGCAGGAGCCGCCTTAAGGTCATCCAAAGGAGCCGTTAGCAAGGAGTGCACAGGAGACCTATCTTTGTATCGGTCCTCAAAGGAGGGTTTCTTGGAAGAGGTATAGCGAGCGGAGAGTTGGGACACTACAGGGAGCAAAGACCATGGATGTTAAAAGGGAGCGTTTCAAGAGTTGTTGTCTTTTTTTTTTTTTTGCTTTTTTTTTCACTTACAAACGTGAACCATCATTTCCCATGCTGACGTTGTACTTCCATAAGACAATGTCTGTGGAGATTCTCAATCATCAAGACGTTTCACTTCTCATCCAAGAAGCTTCTTCAGCTCTGACAGGATAGTAGGGAATGGAAAGATTTATATTCCTTGCAGACAGCTGGTCGTTTGCATCCTTTTAGAGGGTGGTTGAAGCACTTGGAGGTTTATCTGTCTCTTCAGGGTCACCTGAGTAGCTCTACTCAATGCCAGGAGAACTACTCAGGTGATGTTGTGACCTAGGCTTATGTTGTGACTCCGACCCCCGAGCCTGTCTTATCAGAGGGAGAAGACTCCAAAAGTGAAGGAGAGGAGTTGGCAAGGCCTCCCTCTCCAGGACCCTCCTCTCTGGCAATGCCTCAGTTGTCCTCCGAAGGCCAAGAGATAGGCCAGGGGCTAGGCACTTCGGAGCAGCTGCAGTTGGACAGCGATGGAGATGAGTCTTGGCTGGACCCCTGACAGCATCGCAGAGATAAGCGCGCGCAGCAGAGGAAGAGGCGTGCCAGAGATTAAGCTGAGTCACTGGACCATACCCCACAGGGGATAAAAGGGGGTGTGGTGGCCAGTCAAGCCTTGTGACGAACAAAACTGAAAGCTAGCAAGTCATTCTGCATTTCTGGAACTTTGTTATATGCTCTGCTTGGATTGATTTTTGGACTGGACTTGACTATTCTTTGGCTTTTGTGGACTTACTTTGATGTTTCGGACGGAGGAGAAAAACCTCCCTTTGTAAGTAAAAACTTTTGGCAAGCAGCCACTGGGTTGCTGCCAATTCTGTTATCAAAGGAAATTCTTGTCTGCTGGTTTATTTTAACTCTTGGTCGACTGCTGGTGTGCGTGTGTGAGACGGGGACAGAACAGCTTACTGAGTCATTAAACACACGAGTAGTCCCAAAAACCTATTTTATTGCAACAGCTGTGAATTACGTTCATTCACAGCTGAGTCCCAATTAGATGCAAAAAGTCCTTCAGGAGAAGTCCTTCGGGATAATCACCAAACTTTATCTCCTTTGACACGCTGCCAAAGACCTACTTGGCAAAGCCACACGGAGTCCAGAATCAAACAGAGATGCCGACTGGAAACAGAATTAACAATGTTGCTTTCCTGCAAAGGGCTCACGTGCCTTTGCTCCTCTTTTAAGCCTTATGGGAGGGGCCAATCGTCTCCAGGCCTTACTCCTGAGTCGTCCCTTTTGTTTTAGCTGTTTTTGCCTTCTGGCAGCTTTGCTCATGCGGGCACTAGGAACAGGCTCCTCCTGTTCCTCTGCCTCTCTGCTGTCCGACTCCAGAGGCTCCAGAGTCCGTGCATAACTCTCAGATGGCCCTGGCCCCATCTCTACCTCCAAGGCAGAGCCCTCATCTGGGCCTTCCCCAGCCTCCAGGACTGACCCATGGTCCTCCCCAGCCTCCTCACTGTCTGACTCTGCTGCCAGCTCCGCAGGCTGCTGGTGGACCACAGCAGGTAACCCTGAGGACACAGATAAATCTCCAAGTGCTTCAACGACCCTCTAAAAGGATGCAAATGACCAGCTGTTTGCAAGGAATATAAATCCTTCCATTTTCCACTATCCCATCAGAGCTGAAGAAGCTTCTTGGCTGAAAAGCAAAAAGTCTTCAAAACAAATAAACAAACAAGGAAGTCCAGTTGCTTCCTGAAAAAGCACTTTTGGGACAGCCAGGATCTGCATGACTGAGAATCTCCTTGGGCAAATGAACTTTGTGTTTTTTTTTTCCTTTGAAAAGGTTTCTCTTCTCATCTAAGAAGCTTCTTGGATGCAAAATGTTTTCAAAGGAAAAAAAAAAACCTCCAAGGAAATACAAGTTGCCTTTCAGAAAAAGCACCTTTGGGATTTCCATAAGAGAATTTTCAACTAAAACTGATCTCCCAGGATTTGTGCTGGGTTGTTAGATCAAATTCCCCTTCAAGATCTTTGGTGCCCTTTGAGCTTGCTTTCTTGCAGATGTTTCATTACCCAACTAGGTAAAGGAGAAGGAGAAGGAGGAGAAGGAGAAGGAGAAGGAGGAGGAGGAGGAGGAGAAGGAGAAGAAGGAGAAAGAGAAGGAGAAGGAGAAGGAGGAGAAAGAGAAGGAGAAGGAGGAGAAGAAGGAGAAGGAAAAGGAGAAGAAGAAGAGAAGAAGAAGAAGGAGAAGGAGGAGGAGAAGGAAAAGGAGAAGGAGGAGGAGGAGGAGAAGGAGGAGAAGGAGAAGGAGAAGGAGGAGAAGGAGGAGGAGAAGGAGAAGGAGAAGGAGGAGAAGGAGGAGGAGAAGGAGGAGAAGGAGAAGGAGAAGGAGGAGAAGGAGAAGGAGGAGAAGGAGAAGGAGGAGAAGGAGGAGAAGGAGGAGAAGGAGGAGAAGGAGGAGAAGGAGGAGAAGAAGAAGAGAAGGAGAAGGAGAAGGAGAAGAGAAGAAGGAGAAGGAGAAGGAGGAGAAAGAGAAGGAGAAGGAGGAGAAGAAGGAGAAGGAAAAGGAGAGAAGAAGAGAAGAAGAAGAAGGAGGAGGAGGAGGAGAAGGAAAAGGAGAAGGAGGAGGAGGAGGAGAAGGAGGAGAAGGAAGAAGGAGAAGGAGAAGGAGGAGAAGGAGGAGGAGAAGGAGAAGGAGGAGAAGGAGAAGGAGGAGGAGGAGGAGAAGGAGAAGGAGGAGAAAGAGAAGGAGAAGGAGAAGGAGGAGAAGAAGGAGAAGGAGAAGAAGAAGAAAAGAAGAAGGAGAAGGAGGAGGAGAAGGAAAAGGAGAAGGAGGAGGAGGAGGAGAAGGAGGAGAAGGAGGAGAAGGAGAAGGAGAAGGAGAAGGAGAAGGAGGAGAAGGAGAAGGAGAAGGACTGTGGGGTCCTTGGTGCTCTCTGAGCTTAGTTGTTTTCTTGCAGCTGTTTCATCACCTGACTAGATAACATCATCAGTACTAGAAGGGACCGGGGTTTGCTCTCTCAAACTCCCTTCTAGCACTGATGATGTTACCCAGTCGGGCAGTGAAACGTCTGCAAGAAAATAAGCTCAGAGAGATCCTACAGTTCAACCCTGAGTTACAAATACTTTCTTCTGTTGGTATTAATTTCTCTCTTAGTAATGGTTAGCATCTTCCACCTGACTGCAGAAGATGGTGAGACTTGGGCCAAATTATTTTTGGCTTCTTTCACCAGGACTTTCTCCATCAGAAGCTTTTCTTACCTGATGGAGGGAGAGCAGGAATGGTCCTTGGTCAAAAAATTCCCCCCGTTTGATTCTTCAGGCTGATCATGCAGCAGGATGAAAGGCGAAAACCTGAATTTGACATCAATCTTTTCCGATTGTAAGTCACTGTGTTATTTTGCACGCCATCTTGAATGCTGAAGGGAGACCTCTAACAGATATATGGCTGAGCTCGTATAATGCCATAGTTCATACAGGGGTGGCCAAAATTGTGGAAACTTTTTGGGAAAAGTATATTTTCTAAAACTATCTACCGTTTCTCCCCAAAAATAAGACCCTGTCTTATATTTTTCTGAACCCTGAAATAAGCGCTTGGCCTTATTGCCATGTGCTCAAAAGCCCAATTGGGGTTATTATCAGGGAGATGTCTTATTTTGGGGGAAACAGGGTAATAACACCACTTTTTTTTCGAGTAGTACCATAAAATTATATATCAATGGAAAGATAATTTAATCAAGAATGTAATGCAATCACTTTGATGAAGGATTTGCTATTAGAATAGCAGTTACAGTATAAAGAAGAAAAGTGAAACACGTAGAAAAAATGAGATATACAAAGACTTTTACCACAGAAAAAATGAGATACACAAAAATTATCACTGGGTCAGTTAATACTTAGTTGGGTAACCTTTAGCATGAATTATGGCTTTACAACTTCTTCCCATGGAGTGAACCAAGTCTTTTAGTTCTGCAGGTGTTCTAATATGAAACCAAGATTGAATGATGGCTTCTATTAACTGGGTTTTATTGCTGGATTGCTTCTGACTAACCAGTTTCTTTAGTCGGCTCCATAGATTTTCAATTGGGTGAAGGTCTGGGCTATTCCCAGGCCATTCCAGCAGTGGAATAGGATTATCTTGAAACTCCCCCCCAAAAATGGTGTTATTAGCCATCAAACCTCAAAAATGCACTTTTCCCAAAAGATTTCCACAATTTTGGCCACTACTGTATAAAGCCATTGTCAACCAAACTTTCAATTAACCAGTGGAACGACTTGCCTCCAGAAATTGTGGGTGCTCCAACACTGGAGGTTTTTAAGAAGAGATTGGACAGCCAGTTGAATGGGGTGGGGTCTCCTACTTGAGCAGGGGGTCAGTCTAGAAGACCTCCAAGGTGCCTTCCAATTCGGTTATTCTATTATTTTGAACAAAGCATCTTATGGGCTTATGTGAGTGGAGCCCTTGCCTCACAATCCGGAGGCTGTGAGTTCGATCCTAAGTAGAGGCAGATATTTCTCTCTCTCTGGGCACACTGAGGATATATCTGTTGAAAAAAAACTCCATATTGGCGACAAGAAGGGCATCCGGCCAGTAAACACTCAGTGTTCTGTCCCCCGTCCTCACTCAGACAAATGCAATATCCAAGACACCTGCCAAAAATGTATTGTATAAACAGACCAGAATTCCTGGCAGAAGAGAGTTCTGGCAGCTACTTGTAAAATGTGTGCCAAATCCAATTAGTACTCCCAAAAAATAGGAGAGGCCTTATCTGCAGTCCGTTTCCAGAGTGACAAATTATCCACATGAGTTTAGTCCAAAATATATCTGAGCCGAAGTGCAGGATTTACGATGTGACTTTAAACGTTTGTCCGTCACAAAGCCTGCTGAGCAATCACGCCCCCTTTTATCCCTTGTGGGGCATGGCTCAGTGACTCAGCTCAATCCATGGCCCTCCCACGCCTCTTCCTTTGATGCGCACGCTTCTCCCTCCGACGCTGCCTGGGATCAAGCCAGGATTCATCAGTATCACTCTCTATCAATGGGTGCTCCGAAATGCCTTCCTCTTGGAACATCCCAGGCTGTTTCTCCTGGCCTTCGGATGGAACCTGAGGCATTGCCAGAGAGGAAGGTCCTGGAGAGGGAGGCCTTGCCAGTTCTTCCCCCTCACCTTCTGAGTCCTCTTCCTCCATGAGGACAGGCTAGGGAGTTGGAGTCACAACACTCAGCTCCATTCAATTGCCCGGAAGGGATTATCCCCACGAGGGATTATTGGGTCATTACAAGACGGTGATGATTTTATGGGTGTATGTAATATAAAATCCCAATTGCTAAACAGAAAGAGATGTGCCTTCTTTTCGGAAGGCTAGGAAAATGGATCTCAGGCCTCTTATTGGATCTAGGAAGCATGCCTTTTCCCTGGCAGCCCTTGTCTCATGGAATGCTCTTCCCTCTGAAGTTTAGCAGGTCCTCTCTGTGAGGGACTGGTCAATTTTGGGAGTTGGGGAAAGGGACCTTGGAGGTCTTGTAGTCCAGCCCTCTGCTCAAGCAGGAGATACTATACCATTCCAGACAAGTGGCTTTTCAGTCTCTTCTAAAAACCTCCAGTGATGAAGCACCCACAACTTCTTTCTGGTGGCAAGCTGTTCCACTGATTAAATGTCCTCAGGAAATTTCTCCTCAATTCCAGATTGCTGCTCTCCTTGATTAGTTTCCATCCATTGTTTCTTATCCTACCTTCCGGTGCTTTAAATGGTCAAATAAATGTGAGCTCTGGTTTCAAGGATCCACATTTTCCTGCCAGATCTCCATTAATATTATTACACATAGTTCTGTTAAGTGGGATTATGCATTACAACAGACGTTCTCTCGCTTAATGTCCAAGAAGAAGCTCACCACTGGATGTAAAAGGGAAAGTCGATTCTTGTTCTTCAAGATCTGCAGTATGTAAGCTTAATGCATCCCTATGAATAAAGCAAAAAAGGAAACCAAGTTGCCTCTCTGTTACTCAAGAGCAGTGGTGAAATCTGAACCGGTTTACTACTGGTTCGCTGGCCATGCATGTGCACTGCGCACCAAGCGTATGATGCAGGGGTGAAATGCTCCCGGTTCGGACCGGATCACCCGATCCGGTAGCGATGGAGGCGGGTGGTTCGGAGAACCGGTAGCAAAAATCCCTGCTTCCCCACCATGCCCAGCTGAGCTGCACAATCATCAGAGGCTTTTTTTTTTACTTTTAAAAGCATTTTTTCTACAACCTCTTCGGTGGAAAAAATGCTTTTAAAAGTAAAAAAAAAAAAAAGCCTCTGACGATTGCGTGGCTCAGCTGGGATCGTCAGAGGCATTTAAAAGAAAAAAAGGGTTTTTTTCTTTTAAATGCCTCTGACGATCCTAGCTGAGTTTTTAAAAAAGCCTCTGCCGATCAGGGAACTCAGCTTGGATCGTCAGAGCCTTTTGAAAGCGTTTTTTAACAACCTCTTCGCCGAAGAGATTGTAGAAAAAAATGGTTTTAAAAGTAAAAAAAAAAAAAAAAATTGGCCACGCCCACCCAGTCACATTACCCCCCCGAGCCACGCCCACAGAACCGGTACTAACAAATTTTAGATTTCACCACTGGTGTGATGTGTCCGCGCATGCACAGTACACACCAAAAAGAGGCTTGAGAAGGTAAGTAGAACAGCAAGGGGGTGGGGGAAATCCGCTATAGCGTGTGATCTTGGGAACTTTTTAAAAAAACTTTTTTAAAGCATTTTTTACTACAGGTTCTCCGGAACCGGTAGTTAAAAATGCTTTTAATAGGTTAAAAAAAAAAAAAGTTTCGAAGATCAGCTGAGCAATGCGTGATTGTCGGAACTTTTTTTAAAAAAACTTTTAAAGCTTTTTTTAAACTACCAGTTTTCCAGACCTGGTAGTTAAAAATGCTTTAAAAAGGGGGAAAAAAAAGTTCCGACGATTGTTGGAACTGGTAGCATTTCACCCCTGCTCAAGAGCCGTGTACAAGATGAGGAATACGGCCCGATGTTATAAACATAAGAAATAATTAAAGGTAGTCCTCGACTTACAACCCATTCATTTAGTAACCATTCAACGGCACTGAAAAAAGGTGACTTGTGATCATTGTTCACCAAACCAAGCGTCACTTCTCACCTGCTAAATGCTTCTTGCCCCCTGGTCACCTCTGAAGGTAAGTCTCTCACCGCGGCCTCCCTGTATCAAGAGACAGAACTCTGTGAAAGCCATCAAAGAAGGTTGATTATTGATGAAATAAATGTATGACAACGACAGCAAAGCAATCGAAGAAGCTCCTTTGAGAAAAATGAGGACGTTCATGGAATCCCAGGACTGGTCAAGTCTCCTGGGTGTAAAAAAAAAAAAAATGAACCAAACCAAGCCAGTTTCTGGAAGAACCTTGCTTAGGATGTCCTTAACCAAGACAGTTTTGATTCCTTAATTATTTCAGGGACCAGGTGCTAAGAGCACTGCAGAAGAAGATGTTGCTTCCAACCCATCGGCCAGTCATTGAAACAAGGATTTCTGAATTTTCCATTTTAGAATACAATACAGAGGGGGTAATACAATTCAGCCGGTTCGGACTGATTCGCCCGAACCAGTAGCGGAAATCGCAGGTGCATTTTAGAAGGATTTTTTTTTTTCGTCTGGGGAATGATGCTTCCCTAAAATGGAACATCTGGGGAGACATTTCTGGAACAAGCTTTGCTTTCATTGTGGGAGAAATTCTACTACCTTACAAAGAGTGTAAGATGTATTTGTAACTGCTAGAAAAGAACATTTGAAGCTCAAGGTTGAACTGTGGGGTCCTAGTGCTCTCTGAATTTGGTGGCTTTCTTGCGGATATTTTATTACCCAACTAGGTAACATCATCAGGGCTAGCTGAGTTTGGCAATGAAACATCTGCAGGAAAATCACCACGCCTAGAGAGCACCAACGACAGCACAGTATCTGTAATTGTAACCTTAATGCGGAACAAGTGAAGGCTAAAGAGAATATTTTTTAAATTGTCTCCATAACTGCATTCTGGATATAGGCCATTAATGTTCAAAGATGTTTGAAACCCCATAAAAGGTAAAGGTAAATGTTCCCCTCGCACATATGTGTAGTTGTTCCTGACTCTAGGGGGCGGTGCTCATCTCCGTTTCAAACCCGAACAGCCAGCCCTGCCCGAAGACGTCTCCGTGGTCATGTGGCCGACATGACTCAACGCCAAAGGCGCACGGAATGCTGTTACCTTCCCACCAAAGGTGGTCTCTATTTTTCTACTTGCATTTTTTTAAGTGCTTTCGAACTGCTAGGTTGGCAGAAGCTGGGAAAAGTCACGGGAGCTCACCCCATTACGCGGCACTAGGGATTCGAACCACCGAACTGCCGACCTTTAGATCGACAAGCTCAGTATCTTAGCCACTGAGCCACGGTGTCCCTTGATACCCCATAAAAGTACATAAAAAATATGCAGTGCTATAAATGCAAAAAACAAGAAGAAGGGGGAAAAAAGGACACATTTTCTTCCATCTGGCTCAATTAGAATATTTTGATCTTCCAGATCAAAATTTCAGCGCCTCACCTGCAGGGGTCATGTGATCTTCTGCCAATATTTTCTCTGCTAGGTAAGTCTCTGAATGGGGGGATGGGGGGAGGTAAAAATGCAAACAACCACGTAATACATCATATTATTCACACAGTTTTGGGTAGTCGTTAACTGTCTTATACAAAATGGGTTCCTGATTGGGAAAAGAAATACAGCTGAGTGGCAGCTTCATTAAAAAGGTAAAGGTTCTCCTCGCACATATGTGCTAGTCATCATTCCCGACTCTAGGGGGCTTTGCTCGTCTCCGTTTCAAAGCCGAAGAACCAGCGCTGTCCGAAGACGTCTCCGTGGTCATGTGGCCGGCATGACTCAACGCCAAAGGCGCACGGAACGCTGTTCCCTTCCCACCAAAGGTGGTCCCTATTTTTCTACTTGCATTTTTTACCTGCTTTCGAACTGCTAGGTTGGCAGAAGCTGGGACAAGTAACAGGAGCTCACCCTGTCACGTGGCACTAGGGGATTCGAACAGCTGAACTGCCGACCTTTCTGATCGACAAGCTCAGAGTCTTATCCACTGAGCCACTTTCATTACAGCATAGTATATCAATATGTAGGTTAGCAGAAAACGAAACCGGCATAAACAGTGCTGCCTCAGTGGCCAAGCCGTAATCTACTTTGAAACAAGGCTGACTTGTGGTCCTATTCTTATGGTATTAAAACGGGACAAGTGAAGGAAAGTGATTGGTGGACTTCTTTGGCTTTGTTTTCCCTTCCACCAAAATCATCCAATAGCGAGACAAAAAAACCTACCAGCCAATTACTGTATTCTTTGCATGGCATAGAGATGGGCAAGAACCGACATGTGCGTTGAACAACAAGCTAAGCCACATCTCAAATTTTCCAACGAGATGGTGGCAGATGGGGAGGCGATCAATGCCCATCAAGTGACAGCGTTCTTTTTCTAACGTTATTAACCAGTGGAACAGCTTTGCCTTCAGAAATCGTGGGCACTCCATCACTGGAGGTTTTTTAAGAAGAGACCGGACAGTCACTTGTCTGAGATGGTACAGACTGAGAAGGGGGCTGGACTAGAAGACATCCAAGGCCCCTTCCAGCTTCTATTCTATTCTATTCTATTCTATTCTATTCTATTCTATTCTATTCTATTCTATTCTATTCTATTCTAGTCTAGTCTAGTCTAGTCTAGTCTAGTCTAGTCTAGTCTAGTCCTAGTCCTATTCCTATTCCACTCCACATTTTCTGTTCTGTTCCGTTCCTTTCCATTCCACTCCATATTTTCTATTCTTTCTATTCTATTCTATTCTATTCTATTCTATTCTATTCTATTCTATTCTATTCTATTCTATTCTATTCTATTCTATTCCACTCCACATTTTCTGTTCTGTTCCTTTCCATTCCACTCCATATTTTCTTTTCTATTCTATTCTATTCTATTCTATTCTATTCTTTTCTATTCTATTCTATTCTATTCTATTCTATTCTATCTTTTATTCTATTCTAGTCTATTCTAGTCTAGTCTAGTCTATTCTAGTCTAGTCTAGTCTAGTCTAGTCCTATTCCTATTCCACTCCACATTTTCTGTTCTGTTCTGTTCCTTTCCATTCCACTCCATATTTTCTATTCTATTCTATTCTATTCTATTCTATTCTATTCTATTCTATTCTATTCTATTCTATTCTATTCTATTCTATTCTATTCTATTCTATTCCACTCCACATTTTCTGTTCTGTTCCGTTCCTTTCCATTCCACTCCATATTTTCTATTCCATTCTATTCTATTCTGTTCTTTCTGTTCTGTTCTGTTCTGTTCTGTTCTGTTCTGTTCTGTTCTATTCTTGAGATGGGAAAAAATGAAACTTTGATTTTGGGTTTTACCGATCAGATAGGTTTGTCCTTATAGAAATGGCTAATTTATATTATTATGTAAAAGTAAAAAGTTGAGGTTTGATGTTATTATCATATTCTACTGCACCAAGAGAGTTGGAAGTCAATGCTTTTTCCTATTATTTTCTTTTGGAATCTTGTATTTTGTATTATAAATTAATAAACAGATCCTTCCTCAATTATTGCTGCAAGAGGGGGGAAAAAAGTGAATAGCAAGGACCAGTAGCATCTGGAAGTAGGCCACAGACTAGGCAAAAGGCAAATAATGGGTGAAATGACCTCCCACAGCTATAAAAAATAGAAACACAAAACTCCTGGTCAACAGGAGTAAAACACCTGTAATATATGCAACAGGTAGCAGAATTGGCTTTTTTCTCGGTTTAGCTTGACCTTCTGTGTGGTGTAGGTGCTTTGTCTCAATTCAGTGCTATGGCTTCCGGCAAGGGATAATGGAAAATGTAAGTTCAACCACGGAACCTATTCCACAGGTGTCCAACAGCTTGTGGGCTTCATCCCCCAGAACAGTGTTGGCGAAACTTTTTGGCACCGAGTGCCAAAACGGAGCACGTGTGTGCACGTGCTGGAAACCAGAAGAGCAGCCGCTGGCGCGCACAGGCACGCCGAGAAGATGATCTTCCGGTTTATGGGCATGCATGTGCACCGGCCAGCTGGTTTTTGCATGCGCATGAATACCAGAAACTAGACCAGGTGATCGTGCGCATGTGCAGGCCAGAAACGGAAGAGCAGTGCCCGGCGCTGCATGCGCACCGAGCGGCTGCTGTTCCAGTTTCTGGCACTCCCACGTGCATGAAGACCAGCTGGCTGGCGCGGTGGAAACTGTAAGAGCAACAGGCGGCAGCTCGTGTGCCTGGAGAGATGGCTCTGTGTACCACTTCTGGCACGCATGCCATAGGTTCGCATCCGGCCAGTAGTGGGTTTCAAAATTTTTTACTACAGGTTCTGTGGGCGTGGCTTGGTGGGCGTGGTGTGGCTTGGTGGGTGTGGCTTGGTGGGCGTGGCAGGGGAAGGATACTGTAAAATCTCCATTCCCTCCCCACTCCAGGGGAAGGATACTGTAAAATCTCCATTTCCTCCCAATCAGCTGGGACTCAGGAGGCAGAGAATAGATGGTGGCGGGGCCAGTCAGAATTTTTACTACCGGTTCTCCAACTACTCAAAATTTCCACTACCAGTTCTCAGAACTGGTCAAAACCTGCTGAAACCCACCTCTGATCAGGCTCTAGAACTCCGCAGCCAGCATGGAAATTCTGGGAGTTGAAGTCCACAGGTCTTAAAAGTTGCCAAGGTTGGATAATCCTGCCCTCCTCTGTGCTCTGCTACTACTCATCTGAGAGGTTTAAACAACTGTTCTTATGATATCACCCTTATGAATTTGTCCTATACTGGATCACACCATGTCTTCACCTAGCCAGATTTCTGTTCCACGGGAAAACAGATCTCACCGTTTTGAGTTTCTCAGCACTGCTATAAAAATTCCTTCAAAGGCGAGAGCTTGGTTATTATTAAACCTTATGTGTGTGCTTGTGAATATACAGTACTGTTTCTCTCACTCTCTCTCTCTCTCTCTCATCCATCCGATCCATCAATCCATCCATCCTGCTAGGATGCAACATCTAGCTATCTTGATTGATCTCAAAAAGTTATGCAAGCTTGGATCTGGTTAATACAGGCAGTCCTCGACTTACGACCACAATGGAGCCCCGAATTTCTGTTGCTAAGTGAGTCATTAGTTCAATGACTTTTGCCCCATTTTAATCCCTTTTTTTTGGGTCACATTTTTTAAGCGAATCACTGCAGTTGTTAAGTTAATAACCATGTTTTTACTTTGGCTGTGCACCGCCCTGAGTCCTTCGGGAGAAGGGCGGTATATAAATCTGATAATAAATAAATAAATAAATATTTACAAGACCGCCTTCTGCTACCAATAGCCTCTCACCGACCAGTACGCTCCCATAAAGAGGGGCTTCTCAGGGTGCCGTCGGCCAAACAGTGTCGACTGGCAGCCCCCAGGGGGAGAGCCTTCTCTGTGGGGGCACCCGCCATCTGGAACGAGCTCCCCCCGGAGATACGGAGGATCCCGGATCTGCACACGTTTCGTCGTGCTCTCAAAACTTTTTTATTTCAGCAGGCTGGCCTGGCCTAACTCTCCCTTTTAAATTTTTAAATAGTTTGATTTTTTTTATAAATTGGGTGTTTTAAATTTGTTTTTCGGCCAAAATATTTAATAATTTTAATGGACTTTTAATGTTTGTATTATCTGTATTTTATCTTGGCTGTTCACCGCCCTGAGTCCTCCGGGAGTAGGGCAGTATAGAAATTTGATTAATAATAATAATCATCATCATCATCATCATCATCATCATCATCATCATCATCACGGCGGTTAAGCGAATCTGGCTTCCCCTTTGACATTGCTTGTCAGAAGGTCGTAAAACGTGATCATACGGCCCAGGGATACTGCAACCGTCATAAATATGAGTCAGCTGCCAAGCATCTGAATTCTGATCACATGACTCTAGGGATGCTGCAACGGTCATATGTATGAAAAAAATGGTTATAAGTCCCTTTTTTCAGTGCCGTAACTTCAAACGGTCACTGAATGAACTGTTGTAAGTCGAGGACTACCTGTACTTGGCTGAAAGACCCACGAAAAATACCAGGGCATAGCAAAAACATCCCAAGAGAAGACGATGGCAAGCCATCTTTCAACCGTTGCCAAGAAGAACAACATGGGTGTGTCCAGAAAGTAAAGACAGACTGAGCTCAATTTGGAAAATTTAATCTCAATGGATTCACACAAACTCAGCATAGGTGAGAGGTCCATTGATGTCTGTGATTATCCTTGGCAAAGTCCCCTTTGCCTATAGATCATTCATTTCCAAAATGAGAATCCTAAAACACAGAAGTTACCAATATTTTGCATATCCTTACAGCGTACTGCTCAAATCAGGATCGCTGTCGCTTTCTGTTTTGGGGAGAATCGCCGAAGGTATTTCATCGATTGTGCTTCGTAATTCTTGAAGGAGTTGTTTTAAGTCTCGCAACGGATCCTCCTTGGTGTAATTAAGCTTGGAGGGCATCTGAATGGAAAGATGGATTTTTAAAAAATGAGGATTTGATTAGCTAAAAACAAGACTCACAAAGGCCCTCTTCCCTAAAGCACTATTTCCATTGATAGTGACCAGTGGTGGGACTTGAATAACTTAACAACTGGTTCTCTGGCTGGGTAGGTGTGGCTGGTTGGTCATGTGACTGGGTGGGTAATGTCACTCATCACACCCAGCCCCGCCTCCCGGCCACTCACCTCAAAGGCAGAGGTAGGATTCAGCCAGTTGGGGCTAATCCCACCACTGCCTGGCCCTGCCCCCACCCATTTTCCGACCTGATTTTTGGCCGTTTTTTGGGCCCTTTTCGTCTGTTTTTCAGGCCGTTTTTCAGAGCTTTTCAGGCTGTTTTTTGGGATGTTTTCAGGCTGTTTTTCAGGTTATTTTGGGCCATTTTCAGGCCAAAAGTGGCCCAAAAAATGACCTGAAAACAGCTGAAAAATGGCCTGAAAACAACCAGTAAAAACGAGTGGGGGCGGGGCCAGCCAGTGGTGGGATTTGCTGGTTTGCCGAACTGCGAGGAATCTTAACTACCAGTTCGCCTGAACCTGTTTGAACCGGCAGCAGCCCACCTCTGATAGTGACAAGAAACAGTTTAGTGCAGGGGTGTCAAACTCAAGGCCCGGGGGCCGGATCTGGCCCACAGAGTGCTTAGATCTGACCTGCGGGGCCATCCTGGAAACAGCGAAGGAGCAGCTTGCGGTGCCTCTGCCAGCAATAACGGAGTTTGGGAGGGATGTGTACGGCCCACCCGAGCTCCATTTTCACTAGCAGAGGGTTGCAGGAGGCCGTCTCAGCTGAAAATGGAGCTTGCGATCCCGTATTCGCTGGCAGAACGCTCAGGCCGCCACAGGCACCCAAAACAAGTGACGTCGAGCTGGCCACACCCACCCTGGCCACGCCCACCTCGGCCCCCCAAGGTCAAACACAACTCTGATGTGGCCCTCAATGAAATCGAGTTTGACACCCCTGGTTTAGTGTTTCATCATATATTTTGTAGAAGAATCTGGAACTCTGACCAATGACTAAATATTACTATGTAGTTGCATACTATTAATCCCCCTCAGAACTCTTAGCGAAAACTATAAAATACAGCTAAAATAATAAAAGTTGGGGAATTATAAAGCCTGCTTCTCAACCAGTGAAGAACTGCAGGGACTCAAAGCAGCGTCTTCGTGGACACGGATCAAAATTCAGGTGCTTGACCACTGACATGTATTTATTTTATTTTATTTTATTTTTATTTATTTATTTTTTGTAAAGTTTTTTTTATTTCTTACACAAACACACACACAAACATACAATGTATTTTTGCTGAACAGAGTATTCGGCCGGTTAACAAATTTAAACAATTTTTAGTCCTTTCAACTAAAATTACAATACCTCTTTTTTTGCCATAACATTTATTTTCATCTATTTTGTACCAATATTACCCTTCATTTTCATCTCTAATTTTGACCAAATTCCATTTTCCTTTCTATTCTATATTAAACCCCTTCCCATTATCATCTAATTTTTATATCCATCATCAAATTAATTAATTATGTGGTGTTAGAGTTATTTAATTCTTATATTAATAATAAACCCACTTATTTTATAACATACATTTCCTTAACTAATACAATCCAACATTTTAATATAAATCAATTCATTATATAGATATCTTTTTCATTTATATATGAACCAGAAGAAAAAAAAACCTTAGTTGAATTTAAAAATATTCTAATTATTATATAGCTTTCCCCCTGTATTATTCCAAATCATCACTTAATCATTTGTACACACACCACCGTAAACCATTAAAAAGATTTCAACTATTATTCCAATTATTTTTCAGTTCATTTTCACCATCATATGATTTAACATTATTTCTTACTACAATTCATATTTCAATTCTAGTCATATACATCATATTCCTCTTTCATTTCTTTCTTTTTTTCCCTTTTCATTTTTATTTTTCCCTTTTTCTTTCCCCTTTTTTCCTTTTGTGCCTTAAAATCCTGATCTCTCCTGTTTTGCCCTATATTTCCCGTTTTATTTTATTTTTAATTTTTAAATGCGTATAAGTATTAAATACATGAACAGTGTGGCTTCTGGGTATTAATTTTGATACATAACAACAACAACAACAACAACAACAACAACAACAACAACAACAACAATAATAATAATAATAATAATAATAATAATAATAATAATAATAAAAATTGACAATTTGGATCATCTTACAATAATCATACTCATGTATTTCTAATAACATTAGAAACTAAAAATGTGGCTATTTCGCCTGGCCGGCCTGGGCTGATGGGGGTTTTTATAATGGATTTTAATTGATTTTAGGGATTTTATGTGTAACTTTTAACCCGGAGTTTTTGTTTTATTTTTCTGTTTTATTGTTGTGATCCGCCCTGAGTCCTCTCAGAGAAAGGGCGGCATATAAGTCTAAACAAACAAATAAATAAATAAATAAATAAACATTATACAAAATAGAGACATCTTTCAACTTCTTGAAAGATGAACTCGGCAGAGAACCGGTTGCTAAAATTTTTGAATCCCACCCCTGGGGGAGAGAGGAAAGAGGCAGCCCAGGCCACAGCTGGATAGGAAACGGAGGAATAAGATGGCTGCCATCATGTTTCGTGTTCTAGAGCAGACCCAGTACTTACGTGAGAGATGTGGCCTGCAAACGTTTGACATGACGGTGCGCTGGATGAGTGAGGCAAGGATGAATAGCGCTGTTTAAGTGAGGAGGAACCCACGGTGTGTCCTGGTCCCTGCAGCTCCTAGGGAAGGAGATATTTATGAATAGCAATAGCAATAGCACTTAGACTTTATTATTATTATTATCATTTTTATTTTTATTATATATATATTTAATTTGATTTATATGCCGCCCTTCTCCGAAGACTCAGGGCGGCTTACAATGTGCTCAGCAATAGCCTTCATCCTTTTGTATATTTATACAAAGTCAGCTTATTGCCCCCACAAACTGGGTCCTCATTTCACCTACCTTAGAAAGGATCGAAGGCTGAGTCAACCCTGAGCCTTGGCGAGATTCGAACCCTGCAGTAATTGCAGGCAGCTGGTCTTAATAAGCTTAATAACTTAATAATAAGCTTAAACCCCTGTACTACCAAGGCTCAAACAAAGAAGAAAAAAGAAAATAGAAAATTAAGGGAGGGAAAGGGAATGGGGAAAGGGGGTGTGAGATACAAGGGGGAAGAGAAAAAAGAAAGAAAAGGGGGCATTGACTGCCAATTCTTCCTAGCCCAGGACAAGATAGACACGCTCCAAATTCAACATTTTGCTTTTACACATTAATATATAACTAGCCATTTCTATAACACCAAATCAACAAAACCAAGATCAATGTCTAATTTTCTTTCTTTCATTCAGTAAGGCCAAAGAATTTGAAAGAATACAATAAATTTTGTAAATAAAAATGGTGACAGCTCACAAAGATTACTAGGTGCAAATAGAAATACACATTATTTCCATAGCAGGAATGGTTAATTTGATTATTCTATTTAAAGAGGAAAATATGTTCTTATTTGGATATCACTTCTGGAATTTGTGCTTGTGAAGAATAGCACTTAGACTTATATACCGCTTCATGGTGCTCTACAGCCCTCTCTAGGGCTCTACAGCCGGACAATCTGGATCCTCATTTTACTGACTTCGGAAAGATGGAAGGCTGAGTCAACCTTGAGCCAGTCAGGATCGAACTCTTGGCAATGGGCAGAGTCAGCCTGCAATACTGCATTTTAACCACTGCGCCACCACGCAATATTGAATAAGTGCAATATTACTACTACATTTGTGTCGGGAGCACCAAAGCACTTCTGGGTTGGAAGGCAGGATTAACCAGTGACATCACTGTAGCTGGGTTGGCAGGAGCTGGAATGAGCGACCGTCATAAATATGAGTCATCTGACAAGCAACTGAATTTTGATCACATGATATTGGGGATGCTGCGGGGGGGGGTTGTAGGTGTGAAAAACGGTCATAGGTCGCTTTTTTCAGTGCCGTTGTAACTCTGAAATGCCACTAAACGAACTGTTGTAAATCAAGGACTGCCTGTAATGGTTCTGACATATTTTGAAAGTTATCAGTGAAGCAGAAGACTTACTTTCACGTCTAAAGTGTGCTGAAGTTTGTAGCGCATAACTTCTTGTTCCTGCCGCTGAATGATGCACTGACACTCTGCAAACTGTAGAGACGCCTGGATAAAATCAGGAGTGAGTTATTTACTGTTTGGGACATGATTTACATCCAGTATTATCATCTCGCATTTAAGACATGCGAACAGTTTCCAGTTATCTAGAACAGTTTTTGAGAAAACAATAGAATAGAATTCTTTATTGGCCAAGTGTGATTGTACACACAAGGAATTTGTCTTCGGTGCGTAAGCTCTCCGTGTATATAAAAAATACATTCATCATGAATCATAAGATACAACACTAAGCAAGAACTGAAGGATCAGAGTCCATCTGGGAGCTCAGGGCTTCCCATCTCTAAGCCCTTTTAGAGTCGTGATGGCGAACCTATGGCCCGCGTGCCACCTGTGGCACGCGAGCTGTCACCCCAGCTCAGCTCCATCACGCATGAACACATGCCTCCTGCCGGCCAGCTAGTTTTAGGTCTCTGCTGTGCATGCACGGGGGGCGGGGCCCATGTGGGAGACGCGCACACATGCATCGGGGGGTGGGCCCACATGGGAGGGTCATGCACATGTGGGGATTGCGCGTGCATGCACGGCAGACGGGGGAGCATGGGGGTCATGCATGCATGCATGGGGGATGGGGGGCACACGCACATTGCATTATGGGTGCGCACACGCGCTTTCAGCACACGACGACAAAAAGATTAGCCATCAATTTTCTAGAGAAAAGGAAGCCATACTCGACTTCCACACCATATTAGATTCCTAATAACCAAGTTTGGGGCATCAAGAATAGGGCAAGCCCTCTGGATATACGTATATATATGTATTTGTTCATATACATTGGTCAGTGCTCATCTGGACCAGATTTTTATGTATTTAAAAATACCGACAAATGTATTTATTTCTGTCACTCTCAGAGATGTCTGAGGCAGGATGAAGTCCCAAAACTCAAGATGGCGACCATGACTCTGTGATCAAAGTCCCGTCTTTGACATGTTAAAAAGGGGCGGGGCTTTGATCACAGAATCCGGCCCTCCATTGTGACTGTTTTTTTTATTTTGTCCACAGACTCTCCCAGTTCTTCTATGGGAAACTGTTTGGTTTTAAACACTAGGTTTTAATCCTAACTTCTCTTAGGACAAGTCCTGGGAAGAAGAATTACCGTTTTTTTCGGACTATAAGACGCATCTAAATTTAGAAGAGGAAAACAACAAAAAAAGGGTTTTGGCCTCCCTTTTTTCAGGTCTTTTTCCGGCCCTTTTCCAGCCTTTTTCCGGCCCGTTTTCAGGGCTTTTTCCGGCTGATTTTCAAGGCTTCTTTCAGCCTGGTTTTTTTTGGGAAAAAATGGGCCAAAAAAGCCTTGAAACTGGGCCAAAAAAAGCCCCCCAAAGAGGCCGAAAAAAGCCTCAAATACGGGCCCCAAAAGCCTTGAAAACAGGGCAAAAAAGCTTAAAAAATGGACTGAAAAAAGCCCTGAAAATGGGCTGAAGAAAGGCCCAAAAACAGAGCGTGCAGAGGCCAAAAAACAGCTGGCGGTTGTTCAGCAATATTTGGTCTATAAGACGCACAGACATTTTCACCCCCTTTTAGGAGGCAAAAAAGTGTGTCTTATAGTCTGAAAAATACGGTACATCTAGCCCTCGACTTGGGACCTCAATTGTGGCCAAATTTTCTGTTGCTAAGCGAGACAGTCATTAAGTGAGTTTTGTTTTGCCCTGTTTTACAACCTTCCTTGACACAGCTGTCAAGTGAACCACTGCTGTTGTTAAATGAGTAACACAGTTGTTAATTGAATTTGGCTTCCCCATTGACTTTACTTGTCAGAAGGTCGCAAAAAGTGGATCATGTGACCCCAGGACACTGCCACCGTCATAAATATGAGTCAGTTGCCAAGCGTCTGAATTTTGATCACGTGACCACGGGGAAGCTGCGATGGTCGTAGGTGTGAAAAACGGCCTTTTTAAAATAATTTTTATTTTTATTTAGCAATCGTTTTTTTTCACAGCCGTTGTAACTTCAAACGGTCCCTAAACGAATGGCTGTAAGTCGAAAACTATGCGTGGATGGGCTAAGGAAACTTACTTTATCGAGAGCAGCTTCCATCGTCACCAGTTTGTCTTTCAAACGCTTATCCTGGGACTTTAGGATTTCCAATTCTCCAGCCAATTTGTTGTTTAAAGAAGCCATGCAGCTCAGCTCTTGACTTAACCGGTTTCTCTCTTCTTTCAAATAATGTTTTTCCTGAATGGGCAAGATAGGGGGGAAAACACACAGACACAAAACCAGGTTGCAAAATGGTGTGGGGTTTCCTGCCTAAGCAGGGGGTTGGACTAGAAGACCTCCAGGGTCCCTTCCAACTCTGTTATTTTATTCCAATGGTCTTCAAATTTAGCAGCTTTAAGACTTGTGGATTTCAACTCCCAGACTTCTCAATCTGTGGTCCACAGAGCCTGGGGCGGAGGGTGGTGGGGGGCAATATCAGCACACGGGGTCCACAAATATTTGAACAATTTTTTTTTTAATGACCGTATAATCCCTTGCGGGGTGGAGTCTGGGCGACTGAATGGAGCTGAGTGTTTTAATGGCCAGTTGCCCATCTTCTCGTCAATGCGGAGTTTTGCAGCAGATATACTGGTATGCCCCTTGTGCCAGGAGAGAGAAATATCAGTCTCTACCTAGGATCGAACTCACAGCCTCCTGATTGTGAGGCGAGAGCTCCAGCTCTAGGCCACCGCGCCCCTCAAAGGCTTGTAGAAATGTTATGCTTTAAATCAGGGCAGGGATGAAATGTAAAATTTGTTACTACCGGTTCTGTGGGTGTGGCTTGGTGGTGGTGGAGTAATGTGACTGGGTGGGCGTGGCCAACTTTTAAAAAAAATAAAAACTTTTCAAAGCATTTTTTCTAATGCTTTGAAAAGCCTCTGCCGATCAGGCAACTCAGCTGGGATCGTCAGAGACTTTTCAAAGCATTTTTTTTACCTCTTTGGCCAAGAGGTTGCAGAAAAAAATGCTTTGAAAAGCTTCTGATGATCCCAGCTGAGTCGCGCGATCATCAGAGGCTTTTTTTTTAACTTTTAAAAGCATTTTTTCGGCTGGAGAGGTTGTAGAAAAAATGCTTTTAAAAGTAAAAAAAAAAAGCCTCTGATGAGTGTGTGGCTCAGCTGGGCATGGGGGGGGGAGCGCAGGGATTTTTGCTACCGGTTCTCTGAACCACCCGCCGCCATCCCTACCGGATCAGACCTGGAGCATTTCTCCCCTGAATCAAGGGTCCTCAAACTACGGCCCATGGGCCACGTATGGCCCACCGAAGCAATTAATCTGGCCCGCGTAGGACTACAATCCTGCCAATCTTGCCCCACCTACCCACCTTCTGGGGAGAGCGAGAGATGGAGGGAGAGAAGAGAGAGAAAGAGAGAGAGAGAAAGAGAGAAGAGAAAGAGAGAGAGAGAGAGAGAGAAAGAGAGAGAGAGAAGTGGGAAGAGGGTGGGACACACAAACACACACACACACACACAGAGAAGTCCCTCACACACACTCCACACTAGGATCACTGGTATAGGGGCTGTGATAAAGGCTCCTGGCAACAACCCTGTTTCCCCCAAAATAAGACACCCCCTGGTAACAAGCCCAATCGGGCTTTTGAGTGCATGGCAATAAGGCCAAGCGCTTATTTCAGGGTTCAAAAAAAAATATAAGACAGGGTCTTATTTTCAGGGAAACATGGTAACTAGTGCTCAATATGTTTCATTCTTTCAATCATATTGTAGGGGTTTGCACCCCTAATAATCTTTCAACGTTTGGCCTGATGTTTGGCCTGGGCTACTTTTATCACAGTTCAATAATTCAGCAATTTGGACCTTAGTTGCATTCGTCATTGCTTCCTCCAAGAACTTGATCTTGCTCTGCAAAGCATCAATCTGTCCTCGTTTGGCTGTAATTTGCTTCTGCATCCCCATTGCGACTTTCATGGCTGTCAAAGGAGAAGATGTCCAAGGCATTAGTGGAACTCTGAACATTCCTTGGCACAAGAATTTTTCACCAATGTACGCGTCCCGGCATCCCGATGTAGTCAGTTGACCCCATCACTGACTATTGGAGGCGAGTCGTTGGCCCCCACGGAGAGGGTTCGCAACTTGGGCATCCTCCTGGATACACAGCTGTCCTTGGAGGAACATCTGACGGCTGTGGCCAGGGGGACTTTTTATCAGGTTCGCCTGATCCGCCAGTTGCGGCCCTTCCTAGATCGGGATTCCTTGTGCACAGTCACTCATGCCCTCCTCACCTCTCGCCTGGACTACGGCAACGCTCTCTACATGGGGCTCCCCTTGAAGAGCACCCGGAGACTACAGCTGGTCCAGAATGCGGCTGCGCGGGTAGTAACGGGAGCTGCATGGCGCTCTCACATAACACCTCTCCTGTGTAAGCTGCACTGGCTCCCAGTGGTCTTCCGGGTGCGCTTCAAGGTGTTGGTTATCACCTTTAAAGCGCTCCATGGCATAGGACCTGGATACCTTCGAGACCGTCTGCTGCCACCAACGACCTCCCACCGACCGGTGCACTCCCACAGAGAGGGCCTCCTCAGGGTGCCATCGGCCAAGCAATGTAGACTGGTGGCCCCCAGGGGGAGGGCCTTCTCTGTGGGGGCACCTGCTCTCTGGAATCAACTGCCCCCAGAGATACGAAGAATTCAAGACCTCGGTGCCTTCCGCCGTGCCCTGAAGACCTTCCTTTTTCAGCAAGCCGGGCTGGCTTAATGCTTTTTAAATGTTTTTAATATGTTTTGTTACTGTTTTTTAACTTTGGGGCCAAATTTATATATATCTTTTTAAATTGTTTTTAATGTTTGTATCTATGTTTTTTACTTTGGCTGTACACCGCCCTGAGTCCTTTGGGAGAAGGGCGGTCTATAAATTTGATAATAAATAAATAAATAAATAAATAAATAAATAAATAAATAAATAAATAAATAAAGTTGCGGGATCCAATCTGGGGTCGGTCACCGGAACAAGAGGTTTTGGTCTTCTGAGCTCTCGGACTCGTGCTGGAGCCCATCATCCTCAGGGAACTTCTCTTTAGCAGTGTGTGTGCTTTGGGCTATTTTGTGTGCGATATTTATATGGTGACTGTTGTGTGTGGCTTTTTAGATGTTGATTGTGGTGTGTTGATGACTGGCTACTAAGTCATTGGCTGTTGTTTACTTGTACTTCCCAGCCCCCACCTTCTAAGTAGTGAATAAGCTAGTGGTAAATCTGTTGTGGCCCGTCAGCGGCCAGCGGATCTGGCAGCAGATTCGGAGAGTGAAGAGGTTGGGGAGGAACATGGGCCAGTCCTGGAGCCTGGGGAGGGCTCTGATGAGCGCTCTGCATTGGAGGCAGAGATGGGGCCAGGGCCATCTGGGAGTTGTCAGCTGCCTTCGGAGTCAGACAGCAGTGGGGCACAAGAACAGCTGGAGCCTGTGCCCAGTATGTGCATGAGAAGAGCTGCCAGGAGAAGGGAACAGCTAAGGAACAAGGGTCGATTCGGGAGTGTAAAGCCACAGGTGGAAGGTGAATGGCCCCTCCCATAGGGAATAAAGAGGAGTGAAAGGAGAGAGGAGTTTGCAGGAGACAATTAGTTCAATTCATTAGAGTGAAGATCTGTTCCTCAGTCAATCCTGTGGGTGACCTGCTCTACGACCACCATGACTTACAACAGTCAGTAAGTCGAAGTCTATTTGTATGTCCCTTAGCTACTCCAGAACTGTGATCACCTCTAGCTGCGAATCAAATCATTCTTATAATCTCAGACAAAATGCTCTGATCAGATTTGATGGCATCCGTATGAAAAATTGATGCAAATTAACAGGTTTAACCAATTCTACCCTTTGCAAAAGAAGGAAAATAATTGTCCGAAAGGTGTGTTTTTTTCCCAAAAGGCAACTGGGCTTTTTCTTTGTTTTTCCTTGAAGACGTTTCACTTCTCATCCAAGAAGCTTCTTCAGCTTCTAGTAATACAGGTAGTCCTTGATTTATGACCGCAATTTATGTTCCTAAGTGAGACATTTGTTAGGTGAGTTTTGCCCCAGAAGAGATAGTAGAGATAGCGGGAAGGATACTAGTAACACAGGTCGTTCTCGACTTACGACCACAATTTATGTGGTTAAGTGAGACATTTGTTAAGTGAGTTTTGCCCCATTTTACCACCTTTCTTGCCTCAGTTGTTAAGTGAATCACTGCAGTTGATACGTTAGTAACCCGGATGTTAATTCTGGCTACCCAAAATGGGTTTTGCTTGTCAGAAGGTCGCGTAAGGAGATCACATGACCTTGGGACGCAGCGACGGTCATAAATGCGAACCAGTTGCCAAGCATCTGAATTTTGATCACATGATTGCGGGGATGCTGCCAAAGTCATAACTGTGAAAAACGGTCCTAAATCCTAAGTCAGTGCTGTTTGAACTTTGAATGGTCACTAAATGAACTGTTATAAGTTGAGCCCTACTAGATTGATAAATATCCTTCGACAAAAATCAGTGCTGTGGGAATTAGGTGTTCAGGAAAGTGAGGGCATGAGGGGGAAAAACCATCTCTGTATCTAACTATATAAATCCTTCCATTCTCTATCATCCAGTCAGAGTTGAAGAACCTTCTTGGATGAGGATTGAAACGTCTTCAAAGAAAAAAAAAGTCCAGTTGCCTCTTGAAAAAGCTCCTTTGGGACAACCGTGACCTGGATGAGGGAGAATCTCCACAGACAGAGAAAAATAATTCTGTCCAAGGAAAGTAATACCGTTACCATGGCCATCCGAGCCTTCCATGGTCTTCAATGTGGCCCTGGTTTGCTCCAGTTCAATCTGAGCGGATTTCAGCTGTATTTTCAGTTTGCTCACAATGGCTTCCATGTCTTCATTCTTCTCTCGGTAGTCGTTCTTGATGATTTCTGCTTCCTCTGCGGCGAAAGAGAAACAAACCCAATCAAATCACGCGGAACGAATTCCGGTTCAGGAGCAGAGAGACTCGCTGGGAAGTGTTCTGTCCCTGTCTCACACACGCACACAAACAGACAGCCAGGGGTTAAATAAAACTGGCAGACAACAAATTCTTTCGATAAGAGGATTGGCAGCAACCCAGTAGCTGCTTGCCAAGAACTTTACCCATAGAGGGAGGGGTTGTTCCTCCGACAGATAAACCCAAACAAGATACACACAGTTCAAGAATTGTCAAGTCCAGTCCGTATTAAATCCAAGGCAGATAACGTTGTTTCAAAGATACAATGTGACTCGCTAGTAGTTAGTTTTGTCCGTCACAGAGTCTGAATGACCACCTCACCCCCTTTTATCCCCTATGGGATGTGGTCCAGTGACTCAGCTTAATCTCTGGCACGCCTCTTTTCTGCTGCGTGCGCCTGTCTCTCCGATGCTGGCATGGATCCAGCCAAGACTTATCTCTGTCACTGTCCGACTGCGAGGAGATACCTGGCTCCTGGCCAATCTCTTCTCCTTCGGGAAACACCTGAGGCATTGCCAGAGAGGAGGGTCCTGGAGTGGGAGGCCTGGCCAACAGGAGTTCTCCCTCCGATAAGTCGGCCTCGGGGGTCGGAGTCACAACAGGAAGTCAGCAGTTAGAGGAAGGTTTAGAGACAATTAGACATACTGTATGAATAGAATAGAATAGAATAGAATAGAATAGAATAGAATAGAGTAGAGTAGAGTAGAGTAGAGTAGAGTAGAGTAGAGTAGAGTAGAGTAGAGTAGAGTAGAAACAGAGTTGGAAGGGAGGTTTTCTAATCCAACCCACTGCTCAGGCAGGAAACCCTATACCAATGATGGCTAATCTTTTTGCCATTGCGTACCAAAAGTGGGGGAAGTGCGAAGGGGGGGGTCGCTCACGCATTTGCCCACACCCATAATTCTATGCCCCCCACGCATGAGCACGTGACCCCCCTCCCGCGTTCCCCCCCACTTTTGGCATGCGATGGCAAGGTAGGCCTGTTTTTTGCTCTCCCCAGGCTCCAGAGCCTTTCTAGGAGGCTGGGGAGGACGAAAACGGCCTTCCCCACCTCCCCGGAGGCCCTCTGGAGGCCGGAAACAGCCTTTTTCCTGACTTCCGGTAGGCCCGAAAATCAGCTGGCCAGCGCGTGCACGCATGCCAGAGCTAAGCTCTGGTTTAACCGTGACTTTGCTTTTACTTTTGACCTTTCAACTTTCTTCTTCATCTCTGTCCTTGTTATGTATAATAAGGATTTAAGTTCTTAATGGAGCTCACGGGGCTTATTCTGGAAAAGGAAAGCCCTTAGCATAGGTCAAGGCAGCTGAAGGGAGACGGTTTGCCTCTTGAGTGAACTGATGGTTGGCCCCTCCCTCACTGGCGATCTCCCGGAAGTGCAAGGAGGGTACAGCAGGGTAATGAGAGAAGGATTTGCAGATGGAAATCCCAACTCCATTATTTAGAAGATGTCAATCAAAGCAAGGAAAGAATGGACAGGAAAAGGGAATTTGAACCAATAAAGGGCTGCATAAGAGAGGCAGGTGTGTGTGTGTGTGTGTTTGAGAGAGAGAGATCTCATATCAACAATTTGATATTTGATAAAATCAGAATTCCACACCTTGGCAGCTATCAGGACAATCTGATAGCAACAGCAATAGCGCTTAGATTAGGGTTCTCAGACTCAAGGTCCGTGGGTCGGATCAAATCTGACCCGCAGGACCCCCCTGGAAACAGCAAAGGTGCCTCTGCCAGTGAAAAGGGAGTTCATGGGAGGCATGCATAACCCTCCCGGGCTAGCAAAAGAAACTAAAACCAAACAAAAGGAGGAATGTTTCTCCTTTTGCATTTGAGCATGCAAGAAGGGACAGGAAAGGAGAAAGGGAAAGAGGAAAGAGGAAAGACAAAGAAAAAGAAAAAGAAGGGAAGATGGGAAGAGAGCAAGGAAAGAAAAATAAGGAAAGAAGGGAAGGAACTAGAAAGAAAAAAGAAGAGGGAAGGAAAAAGAAGAAAAGGAGGGAAGGAGAAGGAAGGAAGGAAGGAAGGAAGGAAGGAAGGAAGGAAGGAAGGAAGGAAGGAAGAAGAAGGAAGAAGAGAGCAAGGAAGGAAAAAGAAGGAAAGAAGGGAAGGAATCAGAAAGGAAAAAGAAGAGGGAAGGAAAAGAAGAAAAGAGGGAAGGAGAAGGAAGGAAGGAAGGAAGGAAGGGAAGAGAGCAAGGAAGGAAAAAGAAGGAAGAAGGGAAGGAATCAGAAAGGAAAAAGAAGAGGGAAGGAAAAAGAAGAAAAGGAGGAAGGAGAAGGAAGGAAGGAAGGAAGGAAGGGAAGAGAGCAAGGAAGAAAAAGAAGGAAAGAAGGGAAGGAATCAGAAAGGAAAAAGAAGAGGGAAGGAAAAGAAGAAAAGGAGGGAAGGAGAAGGAAGGAAGGAAGGAAGGAAAGATGGAAGAGAGCAAGGAAAGAAAAATAAGGAAAGAAGGAAGGAACAAGAAAGAAAAAAGAAGAGGAAGGAAAAGGAAGAAAAGGAGGGAAGAGAAGGAAGGAAGGAAAGATGGGAAGAGAGCAAGAAGGAAAAAGAAGAAGGAATCAGCAAGGAAAGAAGAGGGAAGGAAAAAGAAGAAAAGGAGGGAAGGAGAAGGAAGGAAAGAAAGTGGGAATGAGAAGGAAGGAAGTAAAAAGAGCCTGTAGTACAGTGGACTAAAGCACTGTTAATAACTGTTATTAACATCTGCTACTTGCAATTACTGCAAGTTCAAATCCCGCCAGGCTCAAGGTTGACTCAGCCTTCCATCCCTTCAAAGATAGGTGAAATGAGGACCCAGTTTGTGGGGGCAATAAGCTGACTTTGTATAAATATACAAAAGTATGAAGGCTATTGCTTAGCGCATTGTAAGCCGCTCTGAGTCTTCGGAGAAGGGCGGCATATAAATTAAAAGCAAAAAACAACAACAACAACAACAAAAAAGAAGAAAAGAAGGAGGGAATGAGAAGGAAGGAAGGAAAGTGGGAATGAAAATGAAGGAAGGAAGGAAAAAGAAGAAAAGAAGGAGGGAATGAGAAGGAAGGCAGGAAAGTGGGAATGAGAAGGAAGGAAGGAAAAAGAAGGAAAGAGGGGAAGGAAGAAGGAAAGAAGGAAGAAAGGAGATTATAATGAGAGTGAGTGAGGGTCTCAGGGAAGTTCTGCCTTAGCATGTGGCCACCACAGCTGCACCCGACAGGAGTGATGTTGAGCTGGCCACGCCCACTCTGGCCATGCCCAACCCCGCCCCCCCCCCCCCAGGCCAACCCCAAGCGGCCCCCAATGAATTCGAGTTTGACACCCCTGGCTTAGACTTTTACAGCCCTCTTGGAGCGGTTTACAATGTCAGCCTATTGCCCCCAACAATCTGGGTCCTCATTTTACTGACCTCGGAAGGATGGAAGGCTAAATCAAGCTCAGGATCGAACTCCAGGCTGTGGGCAGAGTTAGCCTGCAATACCGCATTCTAATTACTGTGCCAATTGGATGCCTCCACTAAATCAAGAGTTCCACAATTTGGATGTCTCCGGGGTTCACATTCGCGTTTGAGAAGTGTAAACCCTGCAATCCCAAGCACCTCAAAGGAGATGTTTCTCAACCCTGGGGTGGACTTCGGCTCCCAGAATTCCCACAGCTGGCTCAAGAATTGGGGGAGTTGAAGTCCACACATCTTCAAACGTGCCGAGATTGAGAAATACGGACAGGGGCGGGCTTCAAAAGCAAGGGGTTCTCTGCCCGGTTGCTGGGTGGGCGTGGCCATGGTGGGCGTGGTCTAGTCGGCCTCCTGCACCATGGTGGGTGGGGCTTTTTGTCCTCCCCAGGCTCCTGAGGCTTTTCTTGAGCCTCCGGGAGGGCGAAAACAGCCTCCCCAGGCTCCGGAGGCCCTCTGGAGGCTGGAAACGGGCCCATTTCTGGCCTTCCCAAACTTCTGGTACGTCCATTTTTCACTCTCCCCGAGCCTCCGCGCACGCCTGCACTTACCTGCATCCAAAACAGGCTGCGTGGGGACTCCTGGGAGGGGCGGGGTGGGGTGGGAGGGGCCAGCCAGGAGTGGGATTTGAGGGTTCTCCAAAGTGCACAGAATCTTAGCTAGAGGTTCTCCCGAACCCCTGCGAACCCCCAGCAGCCCACCCCTGAACACGGGTCTCGGGAATCTGAGAATAAAGACTCGAAGAAAGAACGACAAAACTGACGAATACCTGCGAGCGCACTGAGCTCAATGCGGCTGGCTTTGATTTCATTCACAAGTTCTTCTCGCTCCAGTTTCATCTCTTTCAGTACCCTCAGCCTTTCCGAGCACACGTTCATCAGTTTCACTTTTTCTAATTCCACGTCGCTCAGGCTGGCCTCCAGTTGACGAATCTGGCTATCCTTCTTGTCTTGCGAAATCTAGGTTTGCGGGGTGGGGGTGGGGGGGAACCATGAAAGAACCAGGTCTTATTAAGCTGATTGATTGATAAAAAGCCTATGCATGGGAATCAGCTTTCAAGGGGGATTGGACTTCGTTTGCTTGTGACTACGTAGGGATTCTAGACTGATCGCTCGTTTCACTCTACCTCCAGATTCTGCCGTTCCTTCTCCTGCACCTCTGTATTTTGTCCTGAACAATGGCAAGGTGGCTGTTTTCAAGAATGAGAATGGTGAAAGGCTTACAGATAGCCCTCGACTTACAACAGTTCATTTAGTGACTTTTCAAAGTTACAACGGCCCTGAAAAAAAGGGACTTATGACCAGTTTTCACACGTGTAGGATCTTTGTAGCCTCCCTGGGATTATGTGATCAAAATCTAGATGCTTGGCAATTGGTTCATACTTATGACCGTTGCTGTCATGTGATCCAGCTTTTGCGAGCTTCTGTTCTGCCCCAGCTACGGAGCCCAAAGAACGCAGCACACACAAAGTCTGTACAAACCTTAGTTTACTAAATTAAATCAGGTTTTTTCCCCCCCAAACAAAGGCTGTTAATTAACTTTCATAACAGCCTACAAGAATCCAAAGAACAAATAATCTTAATCTTACTATGGTTGGCAGAAAACCCAGAAGCAATTTGCAGAGAACTAAGATTGAGGCACGAAGGAGAGTGAACGAAGTTGTTCCCTGCAAATTGCTTCAGTTGGCGTTCTTCCTTAAATAGGCTAAGGGAGTGGCCAATTAGCCCCAAGCCTTACTCTCGAAGAGACTTCCTCCTGAGGAGCCACTCCTGCCTTTTGGCAGCTCTGCGCGCCCATGCATCAAAAAAAGGCTCCTCCTCTTCGTCCTCTTCACTTAAGGGAGCTTCTGGAGGTTCTGAAGGGCCTGGCTGAATCCCCGCCTCTGGCACCTCATCTTCTCCAGCCTCCTCATTGTCCGACTCAAGTGCCAGCTGTACAGGCTGCTGGCGCAGCACCACACCAGCCTCCTTGCTGTCTAAATCAGCCACCAGCCGCACAGGCTGCGTACAGGCCACAACAGCTTCTGACGAGCAATGTCAATGGGGAGGCCAGATTCACTGAACAGCCACATTACTAACTTATCAACCGCAGGGGTTTACTTAACTATACTATAGCAAGGGACGTCGTAAAATGGGACAAAACTCGCTTGACAAATGTCTCACCTAACCACAGAAGTTTTGGGCTCAATTATGGTCGTACGTCGAGGACTATCTGTACTGCTCTAGGACAGCACAATGGCTGCATGGCGTCTGTCAAAAGACAGAGCAATCAGCCAAGGAGTATGGATGGAGTTACTTTTTCCAGGCCCAAGTGATACTCTGTGGTTTTCATATCTCAAAACCAGTGGTAGTCTAGTACAGGTTGTCCTCAACTTACAACAGTTGATTTAGTGACTATTCAAAGTTACAAAGCACTGAAAGAAGTGACTTACGACCGTTTCTTTACAGTTATGACCATCGTAGCATCCCCATGGTCATCTGATCAACATTTGGACACTTGGCAACTGATACATATTTATCAGGGGTGAAATGTTCCCGGTTCGGACAGGATCGCCCGATCCAGTAGCGATGGCAGCAGGTGGTTCAGAGAACCAGTAGCAAAAATTCCTGCCCCCCCCCAATGCCCAGCTGAGCCACGCAATCATCAGAGGCTTTTTAAAATTATTTTTAAAAGCATTTTTTCTACAACCACTTCGGCCGAAAAAATGCTTTTAAAACTAAAAAAAAACAAGCCTCTGATGATCGCGCGGCTCAGCTGGGATCATCAGAGGCTTTTAAAAGCAATTTTTTTTACAACTACAGTTGTAGAAAAAATGGTTTTAAAAGGAAAAAAATTTTCTGACGATCAGGCAACTCAGCTGGGATCGTCAGAGGCTTTTAAAAGCATTTTTTTGCAACCTCTTCAGCCGAAGAGGTTGTAGAAAAAATGGTTTTAAAAGTTAAACAACAAAAAAAAAGTTGGCCACACCCACCCAGTCACATTACCCCCCACCACCAAACCACACCCACAGAACCGGTAGTAACAAATTTTACATTTCACCACTGATATTTATGCAATATTTATGTATTTGCTAACTGTGTTACCACTACTAACTGCAATGATATACTTAACAACTGCAGCAACAAAGCTGGTAAAATGGGACAAGAGTCGCTTAACAACAGAAACTTTGGGTTCAATTGTCGTCCTAAATCGAGGACTACCTACATTGCCTCCTGCTCATGTCAAGTTGGTAGGACCTATCGCCGCAGAAAGATTAAAGAAGCCGGGAATTGGTTCCTGCACCCAAAGATTTAAAACCCCTGATATTTGCTAAAATCGAACCTCTCAACCTAAGTGGACAGCACTAGCTTGGAAAACTTTGAATTAATCCTAATAGAGCTAGTCCTCAATTTACAACCATTCGTTTAGTGACCGTTCGAAGCTAAATTGGCCCTGAAAAAAGTGACTTTCCGAACATTTTCATTGCCGTGATCATGTGATCCAAATTTGGACGCTTGGCCACCGGTTCATATTTACGACGGTTGCAGTGTCCCCGAGGTTGTGTGATTCCCCTTTTGCGACTTTCCGATACGCCAAGTCAACGGGGAAGCCAGATTCCCTTAACAGCCACAGCGATTCAGCATCAATAAAGGTTGTAAAATGGGGTGACATTCAGGGGTGGGCTTCAAAATTTTTAGCAAAGGGTTCTCTGCCCAGTTGCTGGGTGGACGTGGCCATGGTGGGTGTGGCCTAGTCGGCCTCCTGCCCAGGAGGGTGGGGGGGCGTTTTTGCCCTCCCCGGGCACCAGAGGCTTTCTTTGAGCCTCCGGGAGAGTGAAAATGGCCTCCCCAGGCTCTGGAGGCCCTCTGGAGACCAGAAACAGGCCCGTTTCCGTCCTTCCCGAACTTCCGGTAGGCCCATTTTTCGGCCTCCCCAAGCCTCCGTGTGCACCCTGCACTTACCTGCATCCAAAATGCGCCGAGTGTAGACTCGGGAGGGGAGGGGCGAGGTGGGAGGGGCCAGCCAGGAGTGGGATTTGGGGGTTCTCCAAACTTCACAGAATCTTTGCTAAAGGTTCTCCCGAACCCCTGCGAACCCCCATCAGCCCACCCCTGGCGACACTGATTTTAAAACTGTCTCACTTAGCAACAAGAAACATCAGGCTCCTGATTGCGGTCGTAAGTTGAGGACTACCTGGGATCAAAAAGAAAAAGTGTGCCTTTCAGAAGAGGCAAGGGAGTGAAAGTTAGGCACCTTCAGTTCTTGGAGTTCGACTTTCTTCTCGCCGACTTCTTTTATGAGTTGAGACTTCTCTGTCTCCATGGCGCCAGCTGTCCGGCCATGTTGGCTTACGATCTCGGTCATGCCCTCGACTTGTTTCTGGAGGATCTCAATCACCTTCTCCTTCTCCGCCAGCTGCACCTTCAGGGACTCGCAGTCGGACTGCACGCCTCGCAAGAGCTCGCTTTCGCTTTTCAGCTGCTGGAACTCTTGCCGCTTGCTGTCCACTCGTCCCCGCAGCTTATTGATCTCGTCGTTGGTGCATTCGATGACCCTTTCCTTCTCCAGATGGGAACATCTCAGATCGGCGATGACCCTCTCTGCCGAATCCAAGCTTAATTTCCTTTCGTTCAGCTCTTGGGAAGCTTTATGGAGTTTTTCTTTGGTCGAATTTAGCTGGGCCAAGATTGAGGATTCTCTCTCTAGGCTGTCATTCCTCTCTTTAATTGCGGACATCTGGAAAAGGAAAGATATACTGTTTTTCCCCATTGCTTTCACCACACCGAAGGAATGTCCCAAATGAAACAGAACTAGGAAGACGAGCGGCTTAAGGTGAACCTGGTTTCTGCCCTACAAGCCTCAGGAGGCTCTCAGTCTTCCAATATTTGAGGGGCTGCCACAGAGAGGAGGGAGGGAGTCAAGCTATTTTCCAAAGCACCCGATGGCCACACAAGGAATAATGGATGGAAACTGACCAAGGAGATTTTCAACCTGGAAATAAGGATAAACTTCCTAACAGTGAGAACAATCAACCCATGGAACAGAAGTTGCCTTCAAAAGTTATGGGTGCTTCATCACTGGAAGCTTTTAAGAAGAGACTGGACTGCCATCTGTCAGAAATGGTCCGTGATGGCGAACCTATGGCACGCATGCCAGAAGTGGCACGCAAGAGCCATCTCTCTGGGCACGCCAGCCGTCGCCTGTTGCTCTTCCTCGGTTCCTGGTTTTCTGGTTTCTGGCACACATGCGTGCCGGCCAGCTGATCTTCGTGCATGCGGAAGCGCCGGAAACCGGAAGTGCAGCTCCCTGGCGCGCATGCGCCAGTCGGGAAGCTGAGTTTCTGGTTTCCGGTGCATGCATGTGCGCCATCCAGTTAATCTTTGCGCACACACGTGTGCCAGAAAGACCAGGTGACCGCAACCAGAAGCTCAGCTGCTCTTCCAGTTTTCAGCGCGCCCACACGTGTGTGCCGGAGATCTGCTCTTCCGGTTTCTGGCGCTCCTGCGCCTGCGCATGTGCGCTCCCATTTCGGCATTTGTTGGCAAAAAGGTTCGCCATCACTGGTGTAGGGTCTCCTGCTCGGGCAGGGGGTTGGACTAGATGACCTGCGAGATCCCTTCCAACTCTTGTTAATCTGTATCTGTTTTCAACCACTCTCCTCCCCAAAATAAGCACAACAAGATAGGGCAGGCTCAGAGATTATCTCTAGATCAGGGGTGGGTTCTAACATTTTTTACTACCAGTTCTGTGGGCGTGGCTTATTTTGTGGGCGTGGCTTAATGGTCATGTGACAATTCTTTAGGATTTAGCAGAGGTACTGGTCTACCAGGCTTTTAACTGCTTGCAGAGCTGTACTGATCTACTCATTTTGTTTTTGGAGGTACCGGTCTACTCGTTCGTTTTTGGAGGCACTGGTCTACCCATTTGCTTTTGGAGGCACCGGTCTACTCATTCGTTTTGGAGGCACCGGTCTACCACCACACTGCCTTTTAACACTGATCAGCTGTAGGGAAGCCCTTTGAAGCCTGGCGGCAAGAGTTTAAATAGTTTTTTTCCTTCTAGCCGATCAGTTGGGACTCAGGAGGCAGCAATAGATTGGGGATGGGGCCAAATAAAAGGTAAGAATAACGTGGGGGGTCGGGGGGGCAGTTCCCAAAAAAGAGAACCGGTTCAGTGATGTCATATCATCACCACTACCGGCTCGGCCGAACCGGGCCGAACCGGGGGAACCCACCATTGCTCTGGATCATATTACCAAGGGAGCCTCATTTCCCCAATCCTACCACCACTTCCTAATGATTTCTCTACTCTGGATGAGGTTCTGCACTAAACCTTATTTGTGTGTGTCTGTGAAACGACACCTGTTGAAATTTGATATCCTCCTTCAACTGGGAAATGTATCAAGGCCCTGCCACGATTCTTTCCTCTCCAGCTATGTACATAATCGGCATTTGACTAATAACCAGGGGACTGGTAGCATCTTTTCCAACTCACAAAAACTCACCGAATGTCTTTTCATAAACGTGGAAGCTAGCAAAAGTGCTGGAGGACTCGTCCTGATTCTCCTAGCATGCCAGCACGGGTAGTCCTCGACTTCTAACAGTTCATTTAGTGACCGTTCAAAGTTACAACGGCACTGAAAAAAAGGGACTTACGGAGGTTATTTCACACTTTACGACCGCTGCAGCATCCCCGTGGTCACGCGATCAAAATTTAGACGTGTGGCAACTAGTTCAGGTTTATGACGGTTGCAGTGTCCCTGGGGTCACGCGATCACCCTTTTGCGACCTTCCAGCAAGCCAAATCAATGGGAAAGCCAGATTCACTTAACAACGATGCTATTAACTTAACAACTGCAGCGATTCCCTTAACAACCGTAGCAAGGAATGTCATAAAATGGGGCAAAATTCACTTAACGAATGTTGTTTTAGCTAGCAAGAGAAATGCCGCGGCTCAATTGTAAGCGGACTACCTGTATTTTTGCTGCCACTGTGGAGTGATGCTGCCCCCTGCAGGTCATTGAGAATGAAAACACACAAGGCATTTTTTTCAAGAGGCAAATAAACTTTCAGGTTTTTCTTTGAAGACATTTCGCTTCTCATCCAAGAAGCTTCTTCAGCTCTGTCTGTCTCCAGTCTACAACACCACAATCTCCAATCTCCAAAGAGGCCATTTATGTCAAAACTGAACAGCCTCTCTCGACAGAAGGGGAGAGATACGACATCATCTATCTCCAGTCTACAACACAGTCCTCTCAGCAGTTCCAAGAAGGCTCCGCATCAGTGGTGGGTTTCAAATGTTTTTACTACCGGTTCTGTGGGTGTGGCTTGGTGGGTGTGGCATGGCTTGGTGGGCGTGGCTTGGTGGGCATGGCAGGGGAAGGATACTGTAAAATCTCCATTCCCTCCCCACTCCAGGGGAAGGATACTGTAAAATCTCCATTCCAGGGGAAGGATACTGTAAAATCTCCATTCCCTCCCCACTCCGGGGGAAGGATGTTGCTGATCTGTCCCCGTCTACACACACACACACAAACACAGCCAGCCGAGGGTTAAGAAAGTACTTGGCACGCACACAGGTCGTTATCTCAAACTTGGCAACAATATAAGCACCGTCTGCCAAGAGCTTTACTGCAACAGATCACATAAAATTACATACGCATTGCAAATAGTCCAGCAAAACAATATCCCTTCGGCAGCTTCAGACGTTGTTCAAGTGACTAGCCAGAGTTCGTTTTTGTTCGTCACGGAGTTTTACCAGCCACCACCCTCCCTTATATAGTCTCTGGGGTGTGGTCCAGTGACTCAGTTCTAATCCCTAGCACGCCTCCTTAACTGCTGCAACCGTTTATCACGCCTTCGTTGGCGTGCATCCAGGAACGACGGCTCTCCTTCCTCGCTCTCATCCGAGACACCTGGCTCCTGGCTAATCTCCTCTCCCTTGGCCGGCACTTGAGACAGTGCCAGAGGGGAGGGGCCTGGAGAGGGAGGCTTGGCTGACTCCTCTCCCTCATGTTCGGAGCCTTCTTCCTCCGATGAGATAGGCTCAGAGGGTGGGGCCACAACAGTTGCAAAATCTTCATTTCCTCCCGATCAGCTGGGACTAGATGGGGGCAAGGCCAGTCAGAGGTGGTATTTACCAGTTCTCCAAACTACTCAAAATTTCCGCTACCGGTTCTCCAGAACTGGTCAGAACCAGTGGTGGGTTCCTCTCGGTTTGGTCCGGTTCGGCCGAGCCGGTAGCGGTGACTATATGATGTCACCGAACCGGTTCTCCTCCCCCCCGCCCTCCCACCCCCCCCATGTTATTCTTATCTTTTATTTGGTCCCACCCGCAATCTATTGCTGCCTCCTGAGTCCCAGCTGATGACTAGAGGGGAAAAAAACTGTTTAAACTCTTGCCACGGGGCTTCAAAGGGCCGTCCTACAGCTGATCAGTGTTAAAAGCAAACAAATGAGTCGGGTTGTAAGTGCGAGGACCTTCCAGAAATGACTCTGACCAGCTAGCCACGCCCACCTAGTCACATGACCTCCAAGCCACACCCACAAAATAAGCCACGCCCACAGAACCGGTAGTAAAAAAATTTAGAACTCACCTCTGGTCAGAACCTGCTGAAACCCACCTCTGCTCCACACCCATTTTCACTACTCAGGTGACCTTGAGGACACAGATAAACCTCCAGGTGATCTCAATGACTCTCTAAAAAGGATGCAAATGACCATCTGTCTGCAAGAAGTATAAATCCTTCCCTTCCCCACCATCCTAGTCAGAGCTGAAGAAGCTTCTTGGAGGAGAAGCGAAACGTCTTCAAAGAAAACCCCTGAAAAACCAGTTGCCTCTTGTAAAAAAAGCATCTTTGGGACAACAATGACCTGGATGACTGAGAATCTCCATAGACATAAGGCCTTCAATCTTTTGGGCATCGGGGACCAGTTCCGTGGAGAGAGATTTTTCCACGGACCAGAGGGGGCGTGGTTTTGTGTGATGCCTGTATCCTGCGGATGGGGCTTCGTTTGCTTGCGCGGACCGGTTTCCGGCATGCCGTGGACCGGTGCCAATCCACGGACCGCGGATTGGGGACCCCTGCCATTAAGGAGTCTTACCTCTATTACTAGTATCCTTCTCATCTTTTCTACTACCTCCTCTGGGGCAAAACTCACTTAACGAATGTCTCACTTAACAACATACCGTGTTTCCCCGAAAATAAGACCCTGTCTTATATTTTTTTTGAACCCTGAAATAAGCACTTGGCCTTATTGCCATGCACTCAAAAGCCCGATTGGGCTTATTATCAGGGGATGTCTTATTTTGGGGGAAACAAAGTTGTGGTCGTAAATCGAGGACTACCTGTATTACTCCTTCTCATCTTGTCTACTTCTTATTGGCATCGTTATTATGATTATTAATACTCTTGTTGCTTTGCATGCATATACTGAGAACTTCTGCACCAGAGACAAAGTTCCTTGTGGGTCTAATCATGACTCGGCCAAATAAAGTATTCTAGAAGTTTGGGAAATGCTCAAGATCAGGTGGGATTTTGTGGGACCTTCTTCCTTTTCTGACCTGACGCTGAACTTGTCCTTCACACTCCATCTGCAAGGACCGGACGATGGAGTCCAAGCGCTGCAGCTCCATGTTTTTGTTGTCCAGCTCTCTCCGCAGATTGTCGATGGTGATGCTGCTCCCCGTGTCTCGATCCCAGAGCCTCTTATTCTGCTCCTTTTCCAGATTCAGTTCTACATCCTTCTTGTGGAGTTCAGCCTACAAGGCAAGGCAACGCGTTAACCAAAGCTTCATCGTTTCTGAACGTTGAGGAAAAAAATATAAAACTCTTAAAAATAAAGCCTGAAAGATGTACAGGTAGTCCTCGACGTACAACCCCAATTGAGCCTCACATTTCTGTTGGCTAAATGAGACATTTGTTAAGTGAGTTTTGTCCCAGTTTACAACAGTTGTTAAGTGAATCTGCCATTGTTAAATTAGGCACATGGTTGTTAAGTGAATCTGCTGTTGTTAAGTCTCAAAGGTGCTTTTTTCAACAGGCAACTGGACTTTTTGGTGTTTTCTTTGAAGACGTTTCGCTTCTCATCCAAGAAACTTCTTCAGCTCTGATTGAGAGAAGAAAAAGCTGAAGGAACTTCTTGGATGAGAAGCGAAATGTCTTCAAAGAAAAATCAGAAAGTCCAGTTCAGTGGTGAAATCCAAATTGTTTTACTACCGGATCTGTGGGAGTGGCTTGGTGGGTGTGGTGTGGTGTGGCTTGGTAGGCGTGGCAGGGGAAGGATACTGCAAAATCTCCATTCCCACCCCACTCCAGGGGAAGGATACTGCAAAATCCCCATTCCTTCCCCACTCTGGGGCCAGCCAGAAGTGGTATTTGCAGATTCTCCAAACTACTTAAAATTTCCACTACTGGTTCTCCAAAAGCTGTCAGAACCTGCTGGATTTCACCCCCTAGTCCAGTTGCCTCTTGAAAAAAGAAAGCACTTTTGGGACAACAATAACCTGGAGGACTGAGAATCTCCATAGACATCTGCCGTTGTTAAATTAGTCACACGGTTGTTAAGTGAATCCCGCTTCCCCATTGACTTTGCTTGTCAAAACGTCGCAAAAAAACCCTGATCACATGAGTCCGGGACACTGCAACTGTCATAAATATGAATCCGTTGCCAAGCGGCTGAATTTTGATCACGTGTCTATGGGGACGCTGCAACGGTCTTAACTGTGAAAAACGGTCACGAGTCACTTTTTTCCAGCACCGTCGTAACTGTGAATGTCACTGAATGAAATGTCGTTAAGCAGAGGGTTACCTGTAATCCAGGAGCAGCCGATCCTAAACAAACTAAACATTTTCCACGCTCAAGTTAAGCTCGGTAAAATGAAATAAAGCTCAAAGGAAAAATTAGTACGATTTACAATCTACCGGTACTTAAGCAAAATATCTGCCTAGTCTGGGAGGCAGAAATTGTTTAGCTGGTAACTCCAGAAACATGGGGGTTTCTTGGGACAAAAGGCACAAAATGTCTTTTTTCTCCCGAGGGTCCTCCTCTTATCTCCAAAATGATGGTTCTGAAGCGATAACCTCAGTGTGAGATTGGATTGAACGGCATCGCTTAAATTTTTATGCCTTTTTCCGTAGTGAAAATAACAATAAACAATGGTTAGCAGCAAAAAAAAGTGAGAAAAGACGTTTTCAAGCAGGAAAAATGCAAAAGATGTAAAGAAAACAGGTTCCTTTCTCTCTTGCTGCTCATCTCTTTTACCATCTTCCTTTTTCAGGTCCCGAATCGAGCTTCTGCTTCAGACTGCTGGCTGACCTTCCTTCCTTCCTTCCTCCTTCCTTCCTTCCTTCCTTCCTTCCTTCCTTCCTTCCTTCCTTCCTTCCTTCCTTTCTCTTTCTCTCTCTTCCTTCCTTTTTCTTTCTTTCCTTTCTTGTTTTTTTTTTACAGATTAACAGAGTTGGAAGGGATCTTGTAGGTCATCTAGTCCAACCCCTCCCTCCCTCCCTCCCTTCCCTCCCTCCCTCCCTCTCTCTCTCTCTCTCTCTCTGATGGATTGAATACAGCTAAGTCCTTGTCCCAAAATCACTTTATAAACTTGAAATAGTCTCAATATTTCTCTCATTGGACCTGATAGTGTTTTTTTAATCCTTTTAACTGTGTTAGAAGATATGCTCCCAACATTGAACAACTAACACCAAATAAGATTTATTTAACAACAGCCTCTATAGAGATAAGTAAAGTAGTTAAGTAGCTACATTGTACCAAAGAGTTGCCTTTGGTGAGATGGGCAGCATACAAGTTTGATAAAAGAATAAAAATAAAAGAATAATGAAGAACATGTACTCCACGTACGTATGCCAGGGAAGAAAGGCAGAAGGAAGCAACTCTAGATTCGTAATCTCTTAGGCCAGGGGTGGGCAATTGTGGCTCTTTTACAACCTGTGGACTTCAACTCCCAGCTGTCTCAGGAATTCTGGGAGTTGAAGTCCACAGGTTGTAAAAGAGCCACAATTGCCCACCTTTCTTAGGCCACAAGCATAGAGTTGCCAGGTGTCCACTATTTGACGGACAGTCCGCTTTTTTCACATTATGTTCACTATTTTTTTTTCACAAAATAGTGGACATTTTTTTTATTCAAAAGCTTTATGATGAAATGGTACGTAATCTAAAGCTGTACAGTCTAAGAGAATAAGGATAGGAGAATCGCGCTTTGTCTTTTTTTTCATAAGTTAGAATGAGACAAAGATCGAATATCCATTGAACTCGATTCTCCGAAAAAATTAATGACGAGATTAAAATAAAAATATATTATAAAATTATGTACAGTTCACATTTTTAAAATGTATTGTAGCTTGTGTCGACTGACCTAAAATGACGTCGAGTGATGAGAGTGACAGCAGCGAGATTTCAAATTCTTTAAAACGAAAGAGAGGAGTGTGCAAATACACCAAAGACTGGGAAGCTACTTTTGCATGGATTACCAACAACGAAACCAACAGAACAAATATGACGGCCTACTGTAAATTTTTTGAAAAAAAAAAAAAAATTTAATTTTAAATTTTTTTTTTTTTTTTTTACTATTAACCCCCCCCCCCCCCCGCTTGTCCGCTATTTTTGCAAGCAGACCTGGCAACCCTACACAAGCAATGTGATGAAGGAAGGGGTGGGGGTGGGATAAATTTGCAACTCTTTACCTACATCCCACTGACACTTAGTCAGTAGGCTGTGAGGGGCTCAAGAGTCAGTCCCAATGAAGTTGAAAGTATGCATGTATGGCATTATCATGAAGATGAGTTTGGTTTTCTACTGTACGATCTAATGGCCTGAGCTCCTCATAAAGTCATGGAATTTGACCGACTTAGCTCGATTATGAACCCCGAGATTCGCAAAAGCCATTTTTCAATTGAAGCTGTGACCTGTGCCAGATTCCTACCAACAATTGCTGAACCTCATCATCTAAGTTTCCAGTTTCTTGGCTGTATTGATCCCTTTCAATCTGAGCTTCAGTCATCTCAGAGTGAACCAGGTGCAGCTGCTTCTCCAGATCTTCTATCTAAAGCATTAATACAAAAACACACTCAGAAACGACCCTCGGAGGCGGCACAGAATGCAGGTTGCTAAGAATGTCAGTCTTTTTGGGTTTTTTTTTTTTTACTTCACTTTTGTTGTGGCTCTGTCCTCCGAGCCTATCTTATCGGAGGAAGAAGGCTCCGAACATGAAGGAGAGGAGACGGTCAGGCCTCCCTCTCCAGGACCCTCCTCTCTGGCAATGCCTCAGGTGTCTCCCGAAGGAGAAGAGATTGGCCAGGAGCCAGGTGTTTCTGAGCTGTCGGATAGTGACGAAGAAACATTGTGGTTGGACCCACGCCAGCGTCGGAGAGACAAGCGGGCGCAGCAGAAAAGGAGGCGTGCCAGAGATTAAGCTGAGTCACTGGACCACACCCCACAGGCTATAAAAGGGAGTGTGGTGGCCATTCGGACTCTGTGACGGACAAAGCTAATCTCTGGCGAGGCACTTTGCACCTTCGGACACAACACCTATTTGCTGTGGATTTAATTACAAACTGGACTATTCAAACTGTGTGTATTTTTGTCTGTGTTATCGGAGTAAAAGTTCTTGGCAGGCAGCCACGGAGTTGCTGCCAAGTTCCTTATCACTGACGTTGAGTGTTTGAAGAGTTTATTTAACCCTCGGCTGGCTGGTTGGGTGTGTGCGTGGTACGGGGACAGAACAACTTTGTAGCCTAGCTGAAGAAGGTGGCAACGCTTAACTGGGCTTTGTTGAGTTGAAAAAGTTAAGCCTGGCCAGATCTAGTTTAAGAGCTGGCTGGGAGACCACCAGGAAAAAATATCCTAGAAGGCAGCAGTGGCAAATTACTTCTGCATAGTTGTCCACATCCATGAAGACATCACAAATCAAGTACAACTTGGGAGTTTTTTAAACCTTCAACCTATAGTTTTTATAATGTGTGGAATCATCTTCTTTTAACAACCCCATTATTCCTTGCGGGGTGGAGTCTAGGCAACTGAATGGAGCTAGCAGAGTGTTTCCTGGCCAGATGCCCTTCCTGTTGCCAATGCGGAGTTATATTCAGCAGATACATTTTCATCGTGCCCAGAGAGAGAAATATCTGCCTCTACCTAGGATCGAACTCACAGCCTTCTGATTGTGAGGCGAGAGCTTCACCTCTAGGCCACTGCACCACTCAAATACACCTCTATACTGCGGTCTTTGATGTCTTTTATGTCGCTAAGCGAGACAGTGGTAAAGTGAATTTTGTCCCACTTTATGACCTTTCTCACCCTGGTTGTTAAGTGAATCGCTGCAGCTGTTACGTTGTATGGGGAATCCGGCTTCCCAATTGACTTTGCTTGCCGGAAGGTCACAAAAGGGGACGCTGCAACTGTCATAAATATGAGTCAGTTGCCAAGCGTCTGAATTTTGATCGTGTGACCAACGGGGATGCTTGCAACGGTCCTAAGTGTGAAAAACAGTCATAAGTCACTTTTTTTCCAGAGTCGTCGTAACTTTGAACGATCACTAAATGAATTGTTGTAAGTCGAGGACTACCTGTAGTCAGGAAATGAGCTGCGTTTACAATCGCCAAGGTCAATTTCGCCCAGATTTCAAAGGTCACCAACACTCTCACACTCACCTTATCCTGGGACAACCTCATGGCTTCCCGTAGCTCAGAGCGCAATTGAGAAATTGTGCCTTCCAGCTGACTGATTTGGCGCAAATACAAAGATTTCTGATTTTTGGCTTGTTCTCTGAGAATAAAGAGAAGAAATTAAACCCAAATGAGAATCTAAAATACTCAGGAGCAGACAGCGTAGTTATAAAGGTGAGAATGATGCTTGAAATCTAAGCAGACATGAGACGTGACAAATCACTGCCAAAAATGCAGTTTTGCAGGTATCATCATCATCATCTTTTAACGATCCCATAATGCCTTGCGGGGTGGAGACTGGGCAACTGAATGGAGCTAGCAGAGTATTTTACTGGCTGGATGCCCTTCCTGTCACCAATGCGGAGTTTTTGTTCAGCGGATATATTCTCAGTGTGCCCAGAGCAGGGGTGAGTTCTACTTACCTTCACTACCGGTTCGCATTGTGCCCACGAACCGGTAGTAAATGATGCGCATGCAGATCACATCGTAGACGATCTGCATGTGCAGATCGCCTATGATGACGTCCAGGTCAGTGGGCGGAGCCTCCCGCCAGTTTTACTACCGGTTCTTGCGAACCGGTCTGAACCAGGGGCAACCCACCACTGGCCCAGAGAGAGAAATATATCTGCCTCTACCTAGGATCAAACTCAGAGCCCCACATCTGGGCCACTGCACCACTCCTGCAGTTTTGCAGTCATCACAAATGAATATTAGATGTGCAATTTGAAGAGCCGGATAAATTTTTGGGGAGAGGGAGGTGGAAACAGGTTTGTCCATCCGTACAGGCCATTGTGCATTGTGTCTTCTCTGCCTCCGAGGGCCAGGGGCATGGGACAAAGCACCAGAAGGAAGGTTAGGTCACCGTGCTCTGCTAAAGGCTCTCTCTTTAATTCTTTGGCTGGAATTCCTGAAACAAGAGTTCCGGTGGACATTTTCATTTTCATTTTATTTAATTTGTATACCGCCCTACTCCCGAAGGACTCAGGGCGGTGAATAGGCACAGAATAAAACACATAGAATACAAAAATTAAGAGCAGAAGTAAAATCGAATTAAATCAATTTAGCCCAAGACAAATTTAAAACCCCAGGTTAAGAACAAATTAAAATTTACATTAAAATTTACATTAAAAAAGAATGGGAAAGGTTAGGCCAGGTCCGCCTGGTGAAATAAAAAGGTCTTAAGAGCGCGGCGGAAGGTGCATAGATCCGGGATCCTCCGTATCTCTGGGGGGAACTCGTTCCAGATAGTAGGTGCCACCACAGAGAAGGCTCTCCCCCTGGGGGCCGCCAGCTGACATTGTTTGGCCGACGGCACCCGGAGGAGTCCCTCTCTGTGAGAGCGTACCGGCCGGTGGGAGGCCGTTTGCGGCAGCAGGCGGTCCCCTAAATAACCAGTTCCTAAGCCATGAAGCGCTCTAAAGGTGGTAACCAAAACCTTGAAGTGCACCGGGAAGACCACCGGGAGCCAGTGCAGCTCGCGCAGGAGAGGTGTTACATGGGAGCGCCACGTTGCTCCCATAACCACCCGCGCGGCCGCACTCTGCGCCAGTTGGAGCCTCCGGGTGCTCCTCAAGGGGAACCCCATGTAGAGAGCGTTGCAGTAGTGGGTGTCAGCTGATGTCTATGGAGATTGTCAATCATCCAGGTCATGGTTATCCCGAAGGTGCTTTCCCCAAAAAGACAACTAGAGTTTCTTGCATTTTTTTTGGCCTTCTTGGATGAGCTTCTTGGATGAGAAGCAAAAACGTTTTCAAATGAAAAAAAAAAACCAACAAGAAAGTCCAGTTGCCTTTTGGAAAAAGCACCTTTGAGGCAGGGGTGGGCCGCTGGGGGCTCGGGAGAACCTCTAGCTAAGACTCTGTGCAGTTCGGAAAACCCCCAAATCCCACTCCTGGCTGGTCCTGCCCCGCCCCACCCACCCTGCCCTGCCCCTCACAGTAGTCCCAGGTGGCCTGTTTTGGATGCAGGTAAGTGCAGGCTGCGTGCGGAGGCTCGGGGAGGGCGAAAAACGGGTCTACTGGAAGTTCAGGAGGGCTGGGCCCGTTTCTGGCCTCCAGAGGGCCTCTGGAGCCTGTGGAGACTGTTTTTGTCCTCCCAGAGGCTTGAGGAAAGCCTCCGGAGCCTGGGGAGGGCAAAAACGCACCACCCCACACTGTGGTGCAGGACGCCGACTAGGCCACGCCCACCCTGGCCACGCCCACTCAACAACCGGGCAGAGAACCGCTTGCTAAAATTTTTGAAGCCCACCCCTGCTTTGGGGCATTTGCTTTAGATGTGCTGTCTGGGGAATTCTGGGAGTTGAAGTCCACAGGTCTTAAAACTGCCGAGTTTCATGAAACGTTACTCGGGAACATTTGCTGGGACGCCCTTCGGAAGAGTATTACGTACTGAATGATTTCCATCTGGCTTTGAATATTGTTGGCGTGGCTGTGGGAAGCCTTCGCTGCCTCCCTCAGTACTTCCAGATCCTGCTCATGTTCACCGATCAGCCTCTCAACACTGTTATTAAAAAAAAAACACACACACACACACAATAAAGGAATAGCAATAAGGCATATATGGTCTAATGTGCCAATTACCTCTCATCAAGCATGTGCCCCGCCCCCGCATATGCGTATGTCCCTTACGCATGCGGGGGGGGGGCGTGCATGAACTCCCGCACATGTGCCCCATCCCTTGCACCCCGTTTTGGCTTCCAGGTTGGTGCAGGAGGCTTTCCAGGCCCAAAAAGGGGGGCCTGTGCCCCGTTTTGGGCCTGGCAAGCCTCCTGCACCAACCTGCGCCCCCCGCATGTGCCCCCCACATGCATGCGTGGCAGAGACCCAAAGACCAGCTGGCCGGCGGAAGGTGGTGGAACTGGGATGGGGTGACAGCTGGCACGCCTGCAGAGAGGGCTCTGCGTGCCACCTGTGGCACTCATGCCATAGGTTCGCCATCATGGTTCTAAACTCATGATTGCGAACCTATGGCACGCGTGCCAGAGGTTGCACGCGGAGCCCTGTCTGTGGGCACGCGCACCGTCACCAGCTGCTCTTCTGGTTTCCAGCACGTACATGCTCGCCAGCCAGTTGGTCTTTATAGGTGCCGGAGCATTGGAAAACGGCCTGAAAATGGCCCAAAAAATGCCCAAAAAACAGTCATGCGTGCGCCACCCATCTGGTCTTCGAGTTTCCGGTGCTCTGGCATGCGTGAAAACCAGCTGGCTGGCGTGCATAAATCCCAGCCAGCTGGTCTTTGGGTTTCCGGCGCTCCGGCGCACGCACATGCACATGCATGCACGCCAGTGGTGGCTTTGCATGCGATCGGCTTCGCGCAAGCGTGTTGAATTTCAGTACAGCTGAGGCATGGCAATCCGCTCTGCTGTGCCTTACAGCTGGGCGAAAAATGAAGGAATACAGGTAAGTATATCACGGGGGTGGGCGGGAGGGCCCAGCTGATGGTCGGAGCGAACCGGTTTGCTCTCACATCAAGATTTCCGCTACCGGCTCTCCCAAACTGGGGAGAACCGGTAGCAGCCCATCACTGATGCACGTACGTTCCGGTTTGCACACTTGGTGCCGAAAAGTTTCGCCATCACTGTTTTAAACTCTTCCTTCTTCCTTTCTCTTGTAACAATGAATGGCTGATATATGTGCCTTCACTAGAATAATTATTCGGAAGCAGTATTTTTAGGGAAACCTCTGGTTCTTAATTTTATTAAGCAATCTAGGAACTGAGCATCTTTTACAATACACTTCCACTGATACCGCTTTATTTTCGATGAACTTCTTCATTTTTTATGGGGGTTAGATTGGCTTCTATGAGACCTTTCTCAGCAGCAGTACTGAACTTTTTCAAGACCCGTTCCTTCAGGTTTTTTTCTAATTATCCTCCCACCAACAATTAAAAAAAAAAAAACATTTTAAATTTCATGCTGCTTTTGCTAACAATGGATTAAAACCTCTTCTAGCCATAAATTAACTTTCTGTGTTTCTGTTTTTCTCTCTTTTGTAAAGCTTTAACTTTTTTTGTTTTAGTCTGCTTTGACCTACTGCATCAGATTTCATTTCTCTCTCTCTCTCTGTGTGAAACATTTTGTTTCTCCTAATACAGGTTCTCAACTTACAACCGTTCCTTTAGTGACCCTTTGAAGTTACAACGGCATTGAAAAAAGGGGTGAATGATCAGTCCTTGCACTTATGACCATGGCAGCATCCCCACGGTCATGTGATCAAAATTTGGACACTCGGCAACTGGCACATATTTATGACAGCTGCACTGTCCCAGGGTCACGTGATCCCTTTTTGTGACCTTCCCATCCAGCTTCTGACAAGCAGAGTCAATGGAGGAAGTTAAGTTTGCTTAATGACAGCGGGGCCAACTGCAGTGATTCACTTAACAACCGTGGGGAAAAAGGGTTACAAAATCAGGCACAGTGTGATGACCCGGGGCATGGCACAAAGGCAACACAGCCAGAGAACTGTTATGAGTTCCTTTATTGGCACCAACTTTGCCCCCAACGTCCCGTTTACACTCTTGCCTGGAGAAAAGCTCTCCCACAAACCTGCAGCAGCTTCTGGCTGCAGATACTCCAGTCCAAATGCTGTAAGCAGAATGACTGCAAGTCAATCACTCCAGCAAGGCAAGATAAGGAGTCCCAAAAGCAAAGAATTCACGGAAATAATTCCAGCAAGACAAGATAAGCACACAGAAGCACGGCACTAATTCAAACAGTCAGGAGGAATGCCAGGAATGCAGGCCACAACTCTCGACACTAGATGAATTCAGCATTTGTTCCCGACAAACCCCCCTTCCAACTGCCCCTCCTTTAAACTCCATCCCCAGGTGTGCCTTGTGAAGGGAATCAGGGCCCTTTCCTTCCTCGTAAGCCACGCAACCCAAGTTGCTCTCTTTTGCATTCTTCCCTGCATGCCCTAGGATGAGGTGGGGGTGGGCCTTGGTCTTCATCTGAACCCCCTCTCCCTTGTTCTACCTCTCCTCTGCTCTGCCCAGCCTGGCTTTACCTTCTCCAGTTTCCTCCATAGCCAACAGAGCCACTCTCCCGCTCTCTGTCAGCTGTTGTCTTCCGTCTCAGATTCAGACTCCGACGGGGGCATGACACACAGCGCATTTAATAACTTAATCACTTTCTTGGAAATGGAACTTCTGCACCCCATTGTGGTTGTAAATCAAGGACTATCTGTAATCTGCTGTGGGAACTTTCTTGATGAATGACATGAAAATAATCTAAAATAATGTTTAAAATGAAGGAACCGGAAACGGCGTACCTGTCCTGATGTTGCTGAAGCAAAATTTCGGTTTTCGACTGTGATTCTCTTTGCATCATATCTATTTGGTCTTCCAGCTGATAAAATGTCACAAATTATGGTTAATTAAAAATTATTCTAATGCAAGGAACTATATAGTGCAAACGACAAAGAAGTTTCCTCAGTAGTCAGAGCACTGTGGCCATTTCTAAAACATGGTGCTAAGACAAATAAGAGGAATAGCCTCAAGTTTGCTGAGTATCTATTTTTACCCTTACATTGACGATAATCTTCAATCAATATTTACTTCATCCTACTGCCAGGGCTGATAACATGTTTTTGAGGAATTCCATCTACATTTCCATAAGATAGCATAAGACAGTCCCTTACTCCTGTTTTCTCTGACTACAGGTGGTCCTCGGCTTACAACAGTTCATTTAGTGACCGTTTGAAGTTACAATGGCACTGAAAAAAGTGACTTAGGACCATTTTTCACACTTATGACCGTTGCGGCATCCCTATGGTGATGTGATCAAAATTCAGATGCTTGGAAACTGACTCATATTTATGACCGTTGTAGCGTCACAAGGTTATCTGGTCCCCTTTTGCGACCTTCTGACAAGCAAAGTCAATAGGATAAGCCAGATTCATTTAACAACCGTGGTTCCTAACTTAACAACTGCAAGTGGCAAACGGGGCAAAATTCACTTAACAACTGTCTCGCTTAGAAGCAGAAATGTTGGGCTCAATCGTGGCCATAAGCTGAGAGCAGTTTCCCAGCAACAACGGTCATAAAATGGGACAAATTCACTTAACAACTGTTTCGCACAGCAACAATAATGTTGGGATCCGTTGTGGTCGTTAAGTCGAGGACTGCCTGTACGTTTCCAAATTTGGAGTGAAGATAAGCAACTTAAGAGGAAAAATCACGTACTGGGACAAACTTGGATTTCAAACGCAACACCTCTGCTTCGAAGTCCTGGAGAATCCTGGCGAAAGCAGTGGGCAGGTAGGAGACGCGGACGCTGGCAATGCTTTCATATCCATACGACTTCTGGTCTGGACCCCCTTCGTAGTGCAGGAGAAGACCGCGGAGCTGTTCGAATACGTCGTCATGGCCCTGGACCAACTTTTTCAAATAGTCAATCTGGCTACTGGATTCCTTCAGCATTTCCTCCTGAAGCTGGCTGGCCGTCTTCAACTCATCCACCGTGGCTCTCAGCCTGCTATTGTGACCTTCTTGCGAGTGAGATTCCTTTCGTCTATTGATCGGGAAAGAAAGAACCCAACCCCCCCCAAAAAAGAGAAGAGAAACGAAGATGATTAGAGGGGCTGGAGGTTAAAACATACAAAGAACGTTGGAAGGAATTGGGTACGTCCAGGGGTAGGATTCAAAAATTTTAGCAACCGGTTCTCTGCCCGATTGTTGGGTGGGCGTGGCCATAGTGGGCGTGGCCTACTCAACCTCCTGCACCACGGCGGGTAGCTCTGGAGGCTTTCCTCAAGCCTCCGGGAGGGAAAAAATGCCTCCCCCAGGCTCCGGAGGCCCTCCGGAGGCCCTCTGAGGCCAGAAACAGGCCCATTTCCAGAACTTCTGGGAGGCCCGTTTTTCGGCCTCCCCAGGCTCTGGAGGCTTCTCGCAAGCCTCCAGGAGTTCGAAAACAGATTCCCCCAGGCTCCAGAGGCCCTCTGGAGGCTGGAAACGGGCCTATTTCTGGAGTTCCGGTAGGCCCATTTTTCACCCTCCCAGAGCCTCCGCGCGGGTGCTGCACTTACCTGGCATCCAAAACGGGCTGCGTGGAGACTCCTGGGAGGGGAGGGGCAGGGTGGCCGGGATCAGCCAGTCCTTGCAACTACCGGTTCGGTGAACCAGATGTAAAATTAGCATCTGGTTCACCCGAACTGGTCCAAACCGGCTGAATCCCACCCCTGGGTATGTCTAGTTGAATGAAAAGAAGGACCAGGGGCTCCGGAGGCTTTCCTTAAGCCTCCAGTAGGGCAAAAATGGCCTTCCCCAGGCTCCGGAGGCTCTCTGGAGGCCAGAAACAAGCCCATTTCCAGACTTCCGGTACTTCAGGTAGGCCCATTTTTTGCCCTCCTCAGGCTCCGGAGACTTCGCTCAAGCCTCCAGGAGGGCAAAAACAGCCTCCCCCAGGCTCCGGAGGCTGTCAGAAGGCTGGAAACAGGCCCGTTTCTGGAGTTCCGGTAGGCCCATTTTCGCCCTCCCAGAGCCTCCGTGCAGGCCCTGCATTTACCTGGCATCCAAAACGGGCTGTGTAGAGACTCCTGGGAGGGGAGGGGCAGGGTGGCCGGAATCAGCCAGTCCTTGCAACTGCCAGTTCGGCAGAACCAGTCCGAACCAGCTGAATTCCATCCCTGGTTCCCGTGAGACATTGGTGCCCCCTCAAAGACAACCTGAGCAGATGTCCCAGCATGGCCAGACGGTTCCCATAACAAAATGAACTGACGGGATTGGTGGATGTAATGGACTATGGGCGGTCTGTGGGGAAAAGGGGGAATGAATGGTATGCTTGCTTTTGCATGGAAAACCCAGAGCTGGTTTTGCTCTTTCTGTGCTAATGTGATTTGTTCAGTAAAGTTTGTATTCTTGGTAAAATAATGTCCCAGGAGTTTCTTTTTCTGGATTCGCCAACTGGACAGTTGACAGTGAGTTAGAAAGAAAGACTCAGCTGCCTTTGAAATCATTTCCCGCTTAAATCATTTTGGAGCCAACCCAGAAAAAAGTAATCGCCAAGAAAAATGGCGAACTTGCCAGGCTCAAGGTTGACTCAACCTTCCATCCTTTCTAAGGTAGGTAAATTGAGGACAAATAAGCTGACTTTGTATAAATATACAAAAGGATGAAGGATATTGCTTAGTGCATTGTAAGCCGCCCTGAGTCTCCGGAGAAGGGCGGCATATAAATCAAATTTAAAAAAAAAAAATGGACCTAGGATTGGTGACTCTGTTCGGTTCAGGCTATGAGGGGACTCACCTTAATTCACTAAGGGATTCTTTCTCTCTCATTGCGTTTTCCAGACTCGTCTGCAGCTCAATAATTGATTGCCGTAAAGCGAATTTCTGTTGCTCGTGTTGTTCTGTGTTCTACAGGAGATGAAATGAGGAAATTAAATAAATGCTGGGGGAATGGGGCAAACCGCAGAGACAGAAGCAGGGGAGAGATTTTCTGGAACACAGCAATGGAAAGAAAGCATTCCTTAGGAAACGAATTCACTTGGAGCTTTCCTGCTACAGGTAGTCCTCGACTTACAACCATTTGTTTAGTGACTGAAGTTACAACGGCACTGAAATAAGTGACATGATCTATCAGACGTGCCACTACTTACCATATTTTTCATAGTATAAGATATACTCTCTCCCCACAAATTTGGGTGGAAATGTCTGTGCGTCTTATACAGCAAATGTTGCTGAAGCCCCACCCATCCGCTGGCCCCCACCCTTCGGCTGTTTTCAGTCTCCGCATGCCCCATTTTAGACCCGTTCCAGGCTGCTGGGATCGCCACAGCACTTCGCTGCCGATTGCTGCCTCCGCACTTCGTGTTTTTGGCCTCCTCATGCCCCATTTTTGGCCTCTGCGCATCATGTTTTTGGCCCATTCCAGGTGGCGGGGATCGGCAGTGGTGGCAGGAGAAATCCCAGCCACTTGGAATGGGCCAAAAATGCGACGCACAGAGGCCAAAAATGGGGCGTGTGGAGGCTGAAAACACGATGCACAGAGGCTGAAAATGCGACGCACGGAGGCAGCAGTCGGTGGCGATGTGCTGTGGTGATCTCGGCAGCCTGGAAGAGGTCTAAAATGGAGCATGCGGAGGCTAAAAATGCAATGTAAGGAGGCCAAAAATGTGACACGGTGAGGTAGTGATGGGCTGTGGCAATCCCCACAGCCTGGAACAGTTGATTGGCGATATTCCAGAAGGCCGATTCAACCGCCAATCAGCTGCTCGTGCTGAATCAGGCTGCGATAACATGCTGAAGCTAACCAGGCTGTTTGCTGTTTGCTGCAAGGACGCTAGCCAGATGAATACCGATGGATGCTGGTCGGCAGAGGCAGAATTTTTTTTTTCTTGTTTTCCTCACCAAAAACTGATGTGCATCTTATACTCCAGAGCATCTTATACTACGAAAAATAAGTAAATCTCTAAATAGAAATGATTCTTGGCTCCATTTCTTGAGAAAGGTATAATGTATTAGAGATCATGTGTATTGCAATATTGCAAAGTCAAAACTGAGAATTGTGCAGCCAAATCCCTAAATTCTACTTTCCCCTCCCTTAATTACCTCTCATTGCCCACCCCCGTATCATCAATCAGGTCCTGGCAAGATATTTTCATAATGGTCAGTGCAGATCACTTCTGATGACATTCAGGGTCAGTGGGCGGAGCCTCCTGCCAGTTTTACTACCGGTTCTTGCGAACCGGTCCGAACCGGGGGCAACCCACCACTGCCTTGAGGCAACATCTTGAGAAGATACAGCCCTTACTTTCATTTCCCCAAGCATTTCCCACTTCTTTTCCCTTCCCCACGTTTCATGGCAGTCTGTCACTACATGGCAACCAAGCACAGGCAAACATAAAGTGGCAGCTGACATGACTGTTTTTTTTATACTTACGTGTTTTTTTTCTAACCACCAAAAAAAAAAAATCTATTAAGGAGGAAAGATACTTTTTGTTTTAATTGGCAGACTGCAAAGCTATCCATCTTCGAGTTGCAGTTTCTCCCCACAATAGCAGAAGCGAAACAAAGAAGGCAGATTAAACATAGTATGGCCTAATCTATATGCAGCAGAATTCAGCTTTTCTTGGCCCAGATGTTAAACTGCAGTGACTTTTCTGTTTTTCCTGGTGTTTTCCCCCCTTTTTATAACATACCGAGGTGGCGCAGTGGTTAGAGTGAAGTACTGCGGGCTACTTCAGCTGACTGCTAGCTGCAGTTCTGTCAGTTGTGGAAGACAATTTTCTTTTTTGCTTCTTAACTGCCACATATTTTGGATGGGGAAGTTGGGAGGGGGTTGTTGCTGGAGCGGTAGAAAGTTAGTCATAACAACATTCAGTATTCAAGGACTTTTGCCTGCATCTGATGGAGACTGCCTGAAGATTGTATCCAGTTGAGTGTGAAGAGTTGATTGGACAATGTGACGAACTTGTGGGTGTGGGGCACGGCTGTGAACTGTCAGCTGAGTGTGGAAAACCTGGAAGCTTTCAGATTCGGGTTTTTTTAGATGTGCCAACATGACATCTCTAATAAATTGGAACTTTAAGGAACCTCAGGCCTCAGAGCTTTATTTTGTTAGGGGTGTTCCTTGGAACCCTGCTGTCAGCACTTCAAGCTGCATTTACTCTAGTGCTGACATAAGAAGAAGAAGCGGAGGCATCTGGAAAGGGACGTTTGACTTTTCACCTACTTATTTTCCCTGGAGATAATATCCCCTAGGAGATGGGATGGGAGGGGGGAAATTCCTTTGAGCTTTAGCTGTAGATTAGGGGTAGAGTGACTTGGAGGATGGCCAATGAGTGCAGGGGAACGGAAAGGGAGGGTTTGGGGTCTGAAAGTCAGTGTTGGCTGCAATTGGAGTTGGGTTCAGAATGTCGTGCTTAATAAATGGGAGTTTTACTTCAAAAGACTTTGTTTGAAATGCAATTTATTTGAGACGACCTCGAAACCTGACACCTGCACCCTGAGGTGATGCAGTGGTTAGAGTGCAGTACTGCAGGCTACTTCAGCTGACTGTTAGCTGCAGTTTGGCAGATTGATTCTCACTGGCTCAAAGTTGACTTAGCCTTCAATCCTTCCGAGGTGGGTAAAATGAGGACCCAGATTGTTGGGGGCAATAGGCTGACTCTGTAAACCGCTTAAAGCACTATGAAGCGGTATGTAAGTCTAAGTGCTATTTCTATATAAACGTCCCAGCCTGGACAGTAACATCTGTTCTCTCTAGTTGCCTGAGAATATTCAGGTACAGGTAGTCCTCGACCTGTGACCACAACTGAGCCCAAAATTTCTATCCCTAAAAAGCAAGATGGTGGTTAAGTTAATTTTGCCCCATTTTACGACCTTCCTTGCCGCAGTTAAGTGAATCACTGATGTTAGTAACACGGTTGCTAAGTGAATCTGGCTTCCCCAATGACTTTGCTTGTCACAAGAGGTCACAAAGGGAGATCACATGACCCCACGACACTGCAACCATCATAAATACATGTCAGTTGTCAAGCGTCCGAATTTTGATCACAGGACCCCTGAGGATGTTGCGACGGTAGTAAGTGTGAAAACAGGTCTCAAGTGCCATGCTTTTCAGTGCCACTGTAACTTCAAACGGTCGCTAAACGAATGGTTGTAAATCGAGGACTACCCGTGCAGGTAACTGTACAGAGTCGCCCCAAAAGAGCTAGATGGGCAGCCTTATGAATTTAATAAACAAATAAAATTTAAAAAATGAAATAAAATTCAGGACAAACTTGATACTTACTTCACTTAGCTTCTTCTGCAAGTCCCTCACTTGCTCTGCATATTCTTCCAGGATGGTCTCCACCTGCTCTTTTCCAGAAAAGATTACTGATTTTTTGTGACTCCCGCTCTCCGATTCATATTTGGAAGAAAGGCTCTTTGGAGGACTACTGTGTGAACTAGGAAAATTGTATGAGGTGCTGTCTAGGACCGTACTGCTGTGCTTGGTTGAACTTGACGATGGTTTTGGGCTGGCCATCGTGGGGACCCCTAAAACACACAGATGGACCAAGAATTTGACAGTAATTGAAGAAAACACAGAATAATATAATGGTGGGGGGGAAATGCAAACCTCTGTTCAATTCTCATTAACTGTTTTTGTATTTTATCTTCTTAATTATTATTCTGTATGCCACACAGAGTCGCTCCAACGGTCAGATAGGCAGCATATAAATTTAATGAAGAAATGAAAAATAAAAGTGATTTGCTGACTTCTCCAATCGGTAGTCACAACCATGACACCTGATAAGATAGGGCCATAATGCCAACCTATGGCGCGTGTGCCAGAGGTCTCACGCAGCGCCCTCTCTGATGGCACGCGAGCCGGCCCCCCAGTTCAGCTCCGCTGTGCATCCGTGCGTCATTAATTTAACAAGTGCAGCCATTCACTTAACAACTTTCATAAATCCAGCAGGTTCTGACAGGTTCTGGAGAACCAGTAGGGGAAACTTTGAGCAGTTTGGAGAACCGGCAAATACCACCTCTGGCTGGCCCCAGAGTGGGGAGGGAATGGGGATTTTGAAATACTCTTCCCCTGCCACGCCCACCAAGCCATGCAGAGGTGGATTTCAGCAGGTTCTGACCAGTTCTAGAGAACTGGTAGTGGAAATTTTGAGTAGTTCAGAGAACCGGTAAATGCCACCTCTTGCCCCGCCCCCATCTATTCTCTGCCTCCTGAGTCCCAGCTGATCGGGGGGAAATGGGAATTTTGCAGTATCCTTCCCTTGGAGTGGGGTGGGAATGGAGACTTTACAGTATCCTTCCCCTGGAGCGGGGTGGGAATGGAGATCTTACAGTATCCTTCCCCTGGAGCGGCGTGGGAATGGAGATTTTACAGTATCCTTCTCCTACCACGCCCACCAAGCCACACCCACAGAACCGGTAGTAAAAAATTTTGAAACCCACCACTGAAGCCACGCCCACCAAGCCACGCCCACAGAACCGGTTGGATTTGGATTTGGATTTCACCACTGGGCAAAACTCACTTAACTAATTTCTTGCTTGGCAACATCAAATCTGGGCTCAATTGTGGTCGTAAGTCGAGGACTACCTGTATAAGATCTGGTTCTGCTATGGCTCAGGACTGCTCAGCAAAATACCAAAACTTTGCTAGCAATCCAGTATATACTCTATGCAGGCAGATAAAATAATGTTGTACCTTCAAAACAATTGGGTTGCTTTAGGTGAGCCAGGTTTTGGCCACAGCAAATCTGAAAATATTTTGGGTCCACCTGCAGAAAAAAACAGGCCAAGTATGATTTGCATACGTGCTAATTAAACATACCTATGATACTGGAAGGAGAGGACCTTCCTTCTCGACGTGCAGTGGATTCTGAAGATAACTTGGCTGCTTCTTCCTGGAGCTTCAAGGTTTCTTGTGTTTTTTTCTGTAAGGCTTGCCTGAACAATTAAATGGTAGATCGTAAATGGAACTGGATTCTAGCACTGTGCATTCTTCAGAATTGATTTAAGTTATACTAGCACAGCACCTCTTTGCTCCTTATTAAAGCAACTGTGTCTTTTCCCCCCAAACTTCTACCTAAGACTGGAAAAAAGAGTTGTGACTGTTTTGTGTTAAAGACACAGGTGCTTTAATGGTTTGACTTATTAAAGCAACTACATCTTTTTTTAAAAAAAGTCTAAGAATGAATGTGGCTGCTTTAATCATCAACAGAGAGGTGCTATGTTCATGCAAATTCCAATTCTGAATGAATCCTTCTGAATAATTTCCAAAATGGGCACAGCCCTACTATATTGGTAACACATTTCCTAAAGGTAAAGTGAAAGTGAAAAGCATCAATGCCTTTAACGCTTAAAACATGTCCAGAGGTTTCGTATGGTTCAGAGAAATGCTAATAACACTTATTCAGAGAAAATATTTTATTATTATAATAATATCCCAATTGAAATGTCTGTAATAGTATAAAAGCGGGTACTACCTTAGCTCATTAATATTCTTACTCATTCTTCTAAAACCTGCAAAAAATAACAATTATTTTATTGCAACATTACAAATCAAGTTCATAAATGTTTTGACAAATAAAAAGAAAATTACAATACTTGTCGTTCACGGTATATTAGATTGTTGGGGGCAATATGCTGACTCTGTAAAACCGCTTAGAGACTATGAAGCGGTGTATAAGTCTAAATGCTATTGCTATTAACTAATGTCTCACTTAGCAACATAAATGTTGGGCTCAATTGTGGTCGTAAATCGAGGATTACCTGTATAAGGACATAGACAAGGGCTTCCCAGAAGAAGCCTAACCCTAACTCTATCCCCCAGGAACTAAGATCTGACACAAAAATTTAACTTGACTTAATTATAATTGGGTTTTTTGTTCCTGCTGGGGCGCAAATGGAAGTATACAGACTAAACCAGGGGTCTCCAATCTTGGCAGCTTTAAGACCTGTGGACTTCAACTCCCAGAATTCCTCAGCCAGCAAAGCTTTAAGATGTGTGGACTTCAACTCCCAGAATTCTCCAGCTGGCCACGCTTGCTGAAGAATTCTGGGAGTTGAAGTCCACACCTCTTAAAGTTGTCACGGTTGAGAGGGATTGAACCAGAGAATTTCTTTCTCCAGGAAGGTTGAGTTTTTAAAGACATAGAGAGATGTTCAATCACTCAAGTCCCACTATAATCTAAAATATAGAGATATACAGACGACAAAAACACAGGCACCAGAATTTAGCACAGTTCCTGTATTTCTGCCAATCATTTGCATGGTTCCAAATGATTATAGACTTGGCATTTTCCATACATAGCAGAGGTGGGTTTCAGCAGATTCTGACCAGTTCTGGAGAACCGGTAGCGGAAATTTTGAGTAGTTTGGAGAAATGCCTGACTAATTCTTGAGCGGCCATAAAACTAGCATATGCAGTTGAGTTAAGCATTCTGTTTTCTTCTGAAACTTTTCTTTTCTTGGATTTATCCATGGTTGGCCTACCGGGGGTTGAAAAGCTCAATAAATCGTATGCTGGCAGGTGTCGCATATTGGCGGTTGTGATGCATATTTTGAGTGACAGGGAGCCGCAGCAGCAGGGGTGAAATGACTGAAATGAAGTTCTTAGGGGCTCCTAAATCATACATTCTAATTTGCAGAGGGAGAAAATGGTTGTATTATATAATTAACATCTCTAAACATTAATTTTTGCCAGAACCAGAATAACTGCATATGAAAAGATCTTCTAAGTTATTTTAAACCACGAGCAGATCTGACCTGATCTAAGGTAACCTCATAAATATAAAGTCATTTGGTTCAATCGTACGCTTATATAAGATGGATCTGAATTTTCCAATTGCATAAATACACACAATAGTCCTCAACTTACAACCAGAGGTGAAATGCTCCCGGTTCGGACCGGATTGCCTGATCCGGTAGTGATGGTGACGGGTGGTTCGGAGAACCGGTAGCAAAAATCCCTGACACCCCCCCCCCATGCCCAGCTGAGCCGCGCGATCATCAGGGGCTTTTTTTTTTTTTACTTTTAAAAGCATTTCAGGCAACTCAGCTGGGATCGTCAGAGCCTTTTAAAAACATTTTTTTACAACCTCTTCAGCTGAAGAAATGCTTTTAAAAGGTTAAAAAAAAGCCTCTGACGACCCCAGCTGAGCAGTACGATCGTCAGAGGCTTTTTTTTTTTTTACTTTTAAAAGCAATGCTATCAAGTCCTGGGAGCAACCTAGAAGATTTATCACAGAGATGAATCCCAGGGACTAGAGGTAAATCTCAGCGATATGGGGGGTTATTTGTTTATTCATTAAATTTATTTGCCACCCATCTCATCTCAAGGCGGCTTACAACATTCAGGTCCAGATCCCCAAAATAAAGCGAATATTGTAACAATGCGAACCACAAAAAAATGTTGGAGCTTCCCAGTGCATATAAAAGTTATGTTTACCCTAGGCTCCAATTAATTAGCAATAGCACTTAAGACTTATAAACCCCTCCATGGTGCTTTAGAGCACTCTCTGGGCGGTTTACAAAATCAGCATTTTGTCCCCGACAATCTGGCTCCTCACTTTACTGACCTCAGAAGGATGGGAAGGCTGAGTCAACCTCGAGTCCCATCAGGATCAAACTCCTGACAGTGGGCAGAGTCCTGCATTCTAACCACTGCACCACCACGGCAATTAAGTGTGCTATCTAAAAAGACAATGTCAATCATCTTCATTTAACAACCCCATAATCCCTTGCAAGATGGAATCTGGGCAACTGAATGGAACTAGCAGAGTGTTTTAATAGCCGGATGCCCTTCTTGTCACCAATCCAGAGTTTTGTTCAGCAGATATATTGTCAGTGTGCCTAGAGAGAGAAATATCCGCCTCTACCTAGGATCGAACTCACAGCCTCCTGATTATGAGGGTGAGAGCTCCACCTCTAAGCCACTGCACCACTCCTAAAAAGACAATGTAAATGCCTTAATTAAATAATACTGCTAAAAAAAAGCTAATCGTCATCTGAGTTTTCAGCGAGTTGCAATCTTTTTGCTCTCTGAAGCACAGTGAAGCAAATTGGCATGATAAAACGAGGTATGCCTGTAATCCAGAGGCATCACTGGAAATTTACAAGAATTCCTTACACTTTTAAGCATCTCTGTGTTATAGCAGAACAATCATTAACCATTAAACTTTCAAGCAATCTTTTAATCATTAATACGGCAGCTTGCAATAGAAAGGCTCTGTGTTGGCTGTCTTTTCCTAGCTTATGCTCGCTTATATATATGAATATTCACATCATTGCCTAGGGTTAGGTAGTGCTTGACTTACAACAGTTCATTTAGTGACCATTCCAAGTTACAATGGCACTGAAAAAAATTGACTTATGATCAGTTTGCACACTTACGACCGTTGCCCCACCCTCCTGGTCACGTGATCAAAATTCAGAAGCTTGGCAACTGACTCATATTTATGACGGTTGCAGTGTCCCAGAATCACGTGATTCCCTTTTGCGACCTTCTGATCAGTAAAGTCGATGGGGAAGCCAGATGCACTTAAGGACCGTGTCATTAATTAAATAACTGTAGTGATTCACTTTACGACTGCGGCAAGAAAGGTCGTAAAATGGGACAAATTCATTTAACCACCGTCTCGCTTAGCAACAGAAATGTTGGGCTCCGTTGTGGTCGTAAATCGAGGACTACCTGTACATATCCTTCCTACTTATAAAAGCCGGGAGATAAGAAACAAGAAAGAAATGACAGTTTTTTCATTGTATTTGTTAAGCGCCCAGAATCTATGGGAGTGGAGGCTATAATAAATTTAAATAAATCAACAACGACCACAATAATAATAATAATAGTTGAAAATGGCAATTGAACAATAGGAGGTGAATGGGGTTGGTTAAGGAGGGAAAAAGTGACCCCAGAAGTTCATATCTAAAGAGGTAGCAGAAATGGTTGAGATTTTGACCAACTGGTTAGCTGCTATCTGGATGTATGAACAGGTTAGTCTACTCATTTGAAGGCTGCTTCTAATTTCAGAAAGTCGGTTTTCAAGGCATCACCTATTAGCAAGAAATAGGTGCACCTGTTTTGAGGTGGTATCGTCTTGGTGTTGGGTGCTAGAAGGAAGATTGGCAATGATTCCGGATTCCCCTTTGTGTTTGTTTGTTTGTTTGTTTGTTTGTTTGTTTGTTTATGTCATCCTTCTCCCCCATAAGGTGACTCTGGGCAGCTGTTGTACCTCACAATTTTAATCTCATGGTACGCTTACTTTTATTCTGCTCAATTCTTTAGCTTCGCACAACAGACCAAATTGTAAGTTAACCTCGTAAGCTGGGATCCAAATGCAGCTAAAGCAAAATGACACTGGCTTGTTTGTGAATCAATCAAAGCCTCTGAGACATTGAGTTATTCATAACAGGAGCTTAGAGTTTAGGTAAGAGAACTAAGAGGGAAAGAAACTGATTCTGATGTTAAGAATATCCTTATTTGTGTGTTTTTCATCAATCAGAGTGGTTATCCAACCTTTCGGCTTGCCTGGGCTGCACTGGGCCGCATATAAAATATAGTTGATGTATATATAAATATATAATAAATATAATATAATAAATATATCATACTATACTATACTATACTATACTATACTATACTATACTATACTATACTATACTATAACTATATATACTATACTATACTATACTATACTATACTGTATAAATAGCAAACTTCCTTCCTTCCTATATTTATTTATTTTATACGATCATATGGGGCCATACTACTGTTCGGGGCCAAATGTGCCCCATGGGCTGTAGATTGGACACACCTGCTTCAGAAGGTCTTATTATTCTAAAAATGAGAAGATGGAGCAATATCTAGATGAAGGGATCAATTTAGGATCTAAGGATTCATTGAAGGATATAATTATACCTTCGGGTTTGTTTTCTCTCTCTTTTCCCTAGATATATTTTCTCCTTCATGAACTCCTTGTACCCATCATGGTAATGAATATCAATTTTTTTAAAAAAACAAAAAACAAACCGTACCATCTGCGATATATGAATTTTGCTCGGTTCGCTTTGCTCCACTAATTCAAGTGTATTCGTAATAATAGGGAAACAAGGATCTTGTACAAAATCCCGACTTACGGAGGGCAATCGGTCGGATCAAACCCCAGTTAGGAGCCCTTCGGGGCTTCCCCTGCTAAGACAGCTGGGGTGCCTGGGAAGCTTCACCCATCTGCTGGAGCAGTCTGCCAGGCCTGGATGGCACCGTGGGGGTCCAACCCCTTCAAAGGGCTCAATCGGTCTCCGATCCTGGGTGGTGACTTGGGCTACCCATGGCATCCAGGTGAGGCTGGGCTGCCCCACCTTGAAAGCATCTCCCTTCAACACAGCCAGAGAATGGGCAGCCTCAAAAGCACAAGGGTACGGGGGACGCTGGGGAGCGCCTGCTCCCCGAGGCCCAAGGTGTGTCCCACCTGCTGCAGGTTGCCCCGCCCCCTGGCAACTCACCTGAGAAGGACCAGTGGGCTAAGAAATAGACTGGACAGATCACCAGCGGCCTGTGGAACCACAGTGGCCTCTGCTGTTGGGAGGTGGAACTGCAAGGGGCTTGGCTTGAAGGCCAAGAATGAGAAAGGAGAAACCGTACAGAGGTTTTGTTTCAACAAGGACAGCTGCCAAAATATGTTTTTGATCCAGGAAACAGGGAAAGGCTCAGGAAAAGATTTTTCCTCCCTGACATATATAAGTATAAGGGGGAGGGAAAGGAAAGCCTAGTAATTAGGCTTGCAAGGTGTATTCGAGCCTAGCTCAATAGGTTCGAATACACTGGCAGCTTTAATATATTTTTCTTTCTTTCTTTCTTTCTTTCTTTCTTTCTTTCTTTCTTTCTTTCTTTCTTTCTTTCTTCCTTCCTTCCTTCCTTCCTTCCTTCCTTCCTTCCTTCCTTCCTTCCTTCCCTCCCTTCCCTTCCCTTCCTACTTCCTGCCTTCATTTTATTTATTTATATAATATATTGTATTATTATATTATGTAAATAAATACATCATTTTTAATGTATTTATTTATAAGGTAAAGGTAAAGGTTCCCCTCGCACGTATGTGCTAGTCGTTCCCGACTCTAGGGGGCGGTGCTCATCTCCGTTTCAAAGCCGAAGAGCCAGCGCTGTCCGAAGACGTCTCCGTGGTCATGTGACTGGCATGACTCAACGCCAAAGGCGCACGGAATGCTGTTACCTTCCCACCAAAGATGGTCCCTATTTTTCTACTTGCATTTTTTTACGTGCTTTTGAACTGCTAGGTTGGCAGAAGCTGGGACAAGTAACGGGAGCTCACCCCATCACGCGGCACTAGGGATTCGAACCGCTGAACTGCCGACCTTTCAATCGACAAGCTTAGCGTCTTAGCCATTGAGCCACCACGTCTCTCCCATTTCATTTATTTATTTATATAACGTCTTTATTGTTTTTAGAAATAACTCATGCCTACTCCTTCCTCCTCCTATTTTCCCTACAACAACAACCCTGTGGGATGGGCTGGGCTGAAAGAGGGAGTGACCCAAAGTCACAAAGATGGCTTTCATGTCTAAGACGGGACTAGAACTCACCCTCTCTTGGCGATTGGCTCAACGACACCCAACCGGTTTTCATGCCTAAGGCGGGACTAGAACTCACTGTCTCCTGCTGATTGGCCCAAAATCACCCAGCCACCTTTCATGCCTAAAGTGGGACTAGTAGAACTCATTGCCTCCTGGTTTCTAGCCTGTGCCTTAAACACTAGATGTCAGCACTTCAAGCTGCATTTACTCTAGTGCTGACATAAGAAGGAGAAGCGGAGGTGTCTGGAAAGGGACGTGTGACTTTTCACCTATTTATTTTCCCTGGAGATAATATCCCCTAGGAGATGGGATGGGAGGGGGGAAATTCCTTTGAGCTGGGGCAGTAGATTAGGGGTAGAGTGACTTGGAAGATGGCCAATGAGTGCAGGGGAGTGGGGAACAGAAAGGGAGGGTTTTGGGTCTGGAAGTCAGTGTTGGCTATGATGGAGTCGGATTTAGAATGTCGTGCTTAATAAATGGGAGTTTTCTTCAAAGACTTTGTTTGAAATGCAATTTATTTGAGACGACCTCGAAACCTGACACTAGAGCAAATTGGCTGTGTGAACTTCCAGAATGCCCCAGCCAGCATTCCCTAGCCGGCATTCCCCATGGCTAGCTGGGGGATTCTGGGAGTTGAAGTCCACTAGTGGCCAAGATTGAGAAACATTGAGCTTGTCTTTGTGGGGAGTCTGTTTCCCCATTTGGTCAAGCTCAGAGGGTGAATAAGGGGACCCTGTCTCCAAGACCTGGCACTTTCCAGCTGTTTTGGGTGATAACTCCTAACATCCTCAGCATGGAAGGCCTTCAGAGGAAAAAGAATGTTTTCCTTCATGATGTTAATCCAGAGGTCTCCAAACTTGGCAGCTTTAAGACTTGTGGACTTCCACTCCCAGAATTCTCCAGCCAGCATAGCTTTATGCCAGCTGGCTGGAGAATTCTGGGAGTAGAAGTCCACAAGTCTTAAAGCTGCCAAGTTTGGGGACCCCTGTGTTAATCCTTATTGTCGTTGTTTGAAGTCATTTTAGCTAATTAGGTGGGACTTGTGGCTTATTGGTTAGATGCAGTGGTTAGAATGCAATATTGCAGGCTTATTCTGCTGACTGTCAACAGTTCGATTGTCACTGGCTCAAGGTTGACTCAGCCTTCCATCCTTCCGAGGTCGGTAAAACGAGGACCCAAATTTTGGGGGGGCAATATGCTGACTCTATAAACCGCTTAGAGAGGGCTGCAAGGCACTAGGAAGCGGTATACAATTCTGAGTGCTATTGCTATTGCTGTTCAGCAAATTACGTTGAAGCAAATTATAATTGCTAAATTCAGGCAAACGGTCTCCTGTTTTCACGAAGGTCCATCCAATTTTTATGGGCATTGTGGTCGCCATTTTGATGTTTTAATCACCCCTGTGGAATGCCATTCTCTTTCATGGAAGCTACATTCTTCTTCTTTTTTTAAAATCCATCTTGACCAATCATCAGGAGACAGTGAGTTCTAGTTCTGTTTTAGGCATGAAAGCCAGCTGGATGACTTTGAGCCAGTCACTCTCTCTTAGCCCAACTCACCTCACAGAGTTGTTGTTGTGGGAAAATAGGAGGAGGAAGGTGTGTGGGCTACCTTCATTGCCTTGAGTTATTTGTGAAAAAAATAATGAAAGTGGGATTCAAATAAATAAATACATTTACATTGTGACTTCATCTGTTGATTCTATCCACATGCATTTGTGTATCAGGTTGCAAAGTGGCTGCTTATAGGTTGTATAGGTTTTCATCACATCCTAATCCCTACATATTTATCTGCTAAAATATTACAACTGTTTTTATCCTGTCCCTCCGAACCTCTCTGCCTAACAGTTCAATTGCCCTGAAGTTGTAAATCTAAGCGCAGCATTCTCTCCTGTAAAATTCAGCGATGCCACAGCAGCCCTGTTTCCACCAAATTGGCTAAAGAAGAGAGCAGATTTTCCACCATAAAATAATTGTGTGTGAGAAAGCACACGGAGAGGTCATTCTGAATTAGAAGCTGGGGGGATCCCCAAAGTTTGAACAAAGCCAGACATTGTGAAGCAAAAAAAAAAACAAAACACACACAGCTTGTCCTCAGCAATGAAGCACCTACCTCTGACGCGCCTCTGACGAAATTCTGGTTTTTTGTCGTACTTTGCAAACATAAGCGCTTCTCGTGCCAGTTCTGATGTGGAACCGGCTCATGCAGTGACCTTGCTGTGTGCATCCAAGGGGAGAAGGGGACTTTGACGGGTGCCCTGGGGTTCATGCTTCACTCTTCTTTATGCACATGGCACATTGGGAGGCACTGAACACCAAAGAGAGCTGGTGAGGTGCAAAACCCGCGGGATCGGTAGCAGCCGGTGTCCTGCCTTTGTCTGGTGGGGTCACCTAGGCAACAAACTCCACCTCTGATAAGAGTTATGTGCTTGTGTGGGAACCAAACTCAATAACTTCGGGTGTCCAGTTTCGCTAGCAAAGTGGGCCCGTTCAACTGCTGTAGAAAAAGGACCCGTCTTTGCTCTTTGTCACGCTTCACAAGCCATGCCACAAACCTTGTAGATCAGGGGTGTCCAACCTTGGCAGCTTTTAAAGACTTGTGGACTTCAACTCCCAGAATTCCCCAGTTCTTTAAGACCTGTGGACTTCAACTCCCAGAATTCCCCAGCTCTTTAAGACCTGTGGAACTCCCAGAATTCCCCAGCTCTTTAAGATCTGTGGACTTCAACTGCCAGAATTCCTCAGCTCTTTAAGACCTGTGGACTTCAACTCCCAGAATTCCCCAGCTCTTTAAGACCTGTGGAACTCCCAGAATTCCCCAGCTCTTTAAGATCTGTGGACTTGAACTCCCAGAATTCCCCAGCTCTTTAAGACCTGTGGACTTCAACTCCCAGAATTCCCAGCTCTTTAAGACTGTGGACTTCAACTCCCAGAATTCCCTAGCTTTTAAAGACCTGTGGACTTCAACTCCCAGAATTCCCTAGCTCCAAATCTGGGAGCTGAAGTCGACAGATGTTAAAGCTGCCAAGGTTGGACATCTTGTTGTAGAATGATCTTCTCCACTGGTGAGTCCAAATCTAGAATTTCATGAGAAAAAGGAAAACAAGTTTCATCCACATAATACGATTGCCTGGGGAATCCCAGCTCAAAATACTGTAATGCTGTATTCCTCGATAACCTCACTAACCTTTTTTCTAAAACAGGTACTCCTACACTTACAACAGTTCATTTAATGACCATTTGAAGTTACACCAGCACTGAAAAAAAGTGACATGACTGTTGCAGCATCCCCATGGTCCAATGACCAAAATTCAGATGCTTGGCAACTGATTCATATTTATGACATTTGCAGTGTCTCAGGGTCATGTAATCCCCCTTTCAACCTTCTGTGAAGCAAAGACAATGGGGAAGCCAGATTCATTTAATGACCACATTACTAACTTAAGAACTGCAGTGATTCACTTAACAACTGTGACAAGAAGATCATAAAATGGGACAAAATTCAGTTACTAACCATCTCACTGAGCAACAGAAATGTTGGGCTCAATTGTGGTCGAGGACTACCTGTACAGTTTCTTTCTTATAAATTTGGCAAAACTGGACCTGGTATCACCAGATGAATTACAATGTGCGAAGATGAACTAAGAATCTAGTGAAGAGAAGGACCAGGGGAGGCATGATAGCAGTCTTCCAATATTTGAGGGGCTGCCACAGAGAGGAGGGGGTCAAGCTATTTTCCAAGGCACCTGAAGGCCAGACAAGGAATAATGGATGGAAACTGAACAAGGAAATAATCTGGAAATAAGGACAGTGAGAACTATCAACCCATGGAACAGAAGTTGCCTTCAGAAGTTGTGGGAGCTTCATCACTGGAAGCTTTCAAGAAGAGACTAGACTGCCATTTGTCAGAAATAGTGTAGGTTCTCCTGTTTGGGTGGGGTGGGGTGGGGTTGGACTAGATGACCTATAAGGTCCCTTCCAACTCTGTTAATCTTTTATCTGTTAAAGATATAATGGAACTATTACTTTCCATAATATGGGATTAGGTTGTAGACTGAAATTGCATTTTCTTTTTTAGCAGCTGTCATGAGTCAACATTTCTTATATTTCGGTTGTGATCAGCTACGATTCCAAGATTCTTTACAAGTGTAACATTACCAAAACCAAACACCATTTATCCTGTAACTGTGCACTTGATCTCATTCTTGCTTGTGAAGAACCTTATTTTTATTAAATTTCATTCCATTTATCTTGTAACTGCGTTTGATCTCTCTTTCGCTGGTGGAGAAACCTAATTTGTTTTTATTAAATTTCATTCTGTTATTTTTCTGCAAGCTGTCAGATTACTGTTGAATTTTGTTCCTGCCTTTTAGAGTATTGTTATTTTTATCCTGATAAAAGACCATTTTAAATTTTAAGATGCTCCCCTCAGAAAATTCATCCTGGACAAAGCCTGTCTAAGAGGCCACAAAATGTCAACAACAACCTGACAACAGTTAATCCATCAATCCTCAGAAAATGAACAATAAGGGGAAAAAATGGATTGAGTTGAACCAAAGAGAAAAGGTGACAGAGCCAGTAAAAATCAGACAGTAAGAAAAGCCCTGTTTGGGCATAATAAAAAAAAAGATTTAACATTTCCACCTATATCCATTCCCTCAATCTCTCTCTCTCTCTCTCTCTCTCTCTGTGTGTGTGTGTGTGTGTCTGTGTGTGTATACACATGTACAGTAAGTGTGTGCACAGCTTCTACCGTGTTTCCCCGAAAATAAGACCCTGTCTTATATATTCTTTTGAACTCTGAAATAAGCGCTTGGCCTTATTGCCATGAGCTCAAAAGCCCGATTGGGCTTATTATTAGGGAACGTCTTATTTTTGGGGAAACAGAGTAATGAAATAAAAAGCAGAATATTTGTGGAAGAATTGTGTACAGGTAGATATCTGTGTTTGAAAGTAGTTTGTGTGAGACAAAAGTCAGTATATTGAGATATGAGAATAATTTTATTAATGGGGTGTCTTATTTTACAAGGAATTTAATTTTAATTTGTAAGTCTTTCCTTACTTCCTGCCTCCCTCCCTCCCCCTCCCTCCCTCCTTCTTTCTGCCTTCCTTCTTCCTTCCTTCCTTCCTTCCTTCCTTCCTTCCTTCCTTCCTTCCTTCCTTCCTTCCTGTCTGGCTTCTGTGAGAGCTGTGTGTACACCCACACACAAATATCACATACATCTTTTCAATGGCATCTTTTATTCTCATCAGGAGTAAGAATACTCCCAAACCTGGCCTGGAAATTATTGTGGAAACTTCTTGTTACGCCCGCCATTTTCTTCCTGTTCTTTTAACTATTTACTGATCCCGTAGAAGACCTGTAAGATACAGGTGGTCTTATTCGTTGACTTTTCCCTTTAGATTATGGTTTCTTTTATAGCAATCATCACTTTGTAGAAAAGAATTTTAAGTCATCTTGATATAATGGACTTCTGTTAACTGATCCAGCCCAAACTGGTAATGAGTTCAGAGAATAATGGACCCAGTGCATTCTAAGATCTCTCAAACAGATATTATTGATTAAAACAGGTCACAGAATCTGGTTTCCGGTTGATCCCTAGCTGTTTTTTCTTTTAATTACATTAAACGTCTAGAAGCTGGGCTGCACTTAAGAGTTTTCCTCAGCAGACATATTGTACAACAGACATATTCTACAGAGGAATTATTGTGTCTGTCATCTGCACCTCTATAACTGTCTGGTTTGGTTCTGCAACCCAACAAGACAGACACAGACTTCGGAGGATCATTAGAACTGCAGAAAAAACAATGGCTACCAACCTGCCTTCCATTGAGGACCTGTATACTGCATGAGTCAAAAAGAGGGCTGTGAAAATATTTACAGACCCCTCACATACTGGACATAAATTGTTTCAACGCCTACCCTCAAAACGACGCTATAGAGCACTGCACACCAGAACAACTAGACACAAGGACAGTTTTTCCCCGAACGCCATCACTCTGATAAACAAATAATTCCCTCAACACTGTCAAACTATTTACTAAGTCTGCACTACTATTAATCTTCTCATCGTTCCCACCACCCATCTCCTTCCACTTATGACTGTATGACTATAACCTTGTTGCTGGTATCCTTACGATTTATATTGATATTGTTTCCTGATTGCTTATTTGTTCCCTATGACTATCATTAAGTGTTGTACCTTATGATTCTCGACGAATGTATCTTTTCTTTTATGTACACTGAGACCATATGCACCAAGACAAATTCCTTGTGTGTCCAATCACACTTGGCCAATAAAAATTCTATTCTTTTCGCAAGTATCGTTTGACATTTTCCTCCTCTATATTTCCTTGTTCATACAGATTTCTATAGTATGAATGAATTTGTCCTATTTTGAGTGCTGTTTTCATCTGCCATTTGTTTATCTCTCTTTTCTTTGAAAATGTTGAATATTTGGTAGCTGGATTGGATTCTAAATTAAGAACCTGGAATCTGTATGCATGACATCTAATGTCGTTGAGAGTTCTTGGTATGTTTTCACTTTTGCACTTTGAAAAAGCTGATTCTGAAGAAGGTTGAAAAAACAGAGATAGGTTGTTTATCTTTGATCTGGTGCAATAAGCAAATCTTTTCATAATGTTCTACAAATGATAAGGTTGCCTTTTTTCCATGCAGGCATCCACCTATCATGATAGGAAGTCAGTCAGACAAACATAACATTAAGGTTTTAAGCAGGGGTGGGCTTCAAAAATTTTAGCAAGGGGTTCTCTGCCCGGTTGCTGGATGGGTGTGGCCATGGGGGGCGTGGCCTAGTCGGCCTCCTGTACCACGGCAGGGGGCATTTTTGCCCTCCCCTGGCTCTGGAGGCTTTCCTCTAGCCTCCGGGAGGGTGAAAATGGCTTCCCCAGGCTCCGGAGGCCCTCCACGAACATCTGGTAGGCCTGTTTTTTGGCCTCCCCGAGCCTCCGCACACATCCTGCACTTACCTGCATCCAAAACGGGCCACGTGGGGACTCCCAGGAGGGGAGAGGAGGGGTGGGCAGGGCCAGCCAAGAGTGGGATTTGGGGGTTCTCCGAACTGCACAAAATCTTACCTAGAGGTTCTCTTGAACCCCTGCGAACCCCCAGCAGCCCACCCCTGGTTTTAAGTCTGTTCTGTGTGTTGGCCCACAGTTCTCTTAACTGAACCACAGTGGCTGGGAATAATGGAATCTGTAGTCTCATACATTTAACAGAGTAACAGAGTTGGAAGGGATCTTGGAGGTCTTCTAGTCCAACCCCCTGCTCAAATAGGGGACCCTACACCATTTCAGACAAGTGGCTGTCCAATCTCTTCCTAAAAACTTCTAGTGTTGGGGCATTCACAACTTCTGGAGGCAAGTTGTTCCACTGATTAATTGTTCTCACTGTCAGGAAATTTCTCCTTAGTTCTAGGTTACTTTTCTCCTTGATTAGTATCCATTCATTGTTTCTTGTTTTGCCTTCTGGTGCTTTGGAAAATAGGTTGACCTCCGTCTTGTTTGTGGCAGCCCCTCAAGTATTGGAACGCTGCTATCGTGTCATCTCTAGTGGATATCAAACTATTTTGGAAGCCATCCGAGTCCTTAAGTTTGTACAGTTTCACTTCCAGCGCAGATGTTGTATGGAAATGACCTCTATCAACTTTATATTGCGTGCACTTTTAATCAATTGTAGCTAGCAGCTTCTGGAGTCCTTAACAAATCACTCCACTCTCTCTCTCTCTCTCTCTCTCTCTCTCTCTCTGGCTGTTGGTGCCTCTCTGGGCTGAACACTCTCTTTCAACAACAGAAGGCTTGAGAACAGAGGCAGTGGAGTGGGAAAAGCTGAAAAGAGCTAAGCTATCTCCTTCACATTTTGCAAGGGATTAATTTCACCTGCCTTTCCTGTTTTCCTGGCACAGTCTCATTCCCCCTTTATAAATTCAACTGGGCAAGTCGTTTGACATCCAAGCTCTACAGAGCAAGTGGGAAAAAAAAGAAAAGAAAAGAAAGAAGGAAGGAAGGAAAGAAGGAAAGAAGGAAGGAAGGAAGAAAAGAAAAAAAAGAAAAAGAAAAGGAAGTCTGGGCTTTGCCCCCCCTCCCCCCTCCTTTTCTGTCCCTGCTACTTCTGACAAGCCACAAAACAGTGAAGTTAGCAGAAAAGCCTGTTGAAGAACAAGAGAAGATGCTTTCATTCTTCAGATGCAATGAACTGAGGAAAAAACAGCCATTGTAATGGTAAATTGCCGAGGGACTGGGAGAAAGGGCCGATCATCAATCAAAGACGAAGCACTAGGAGCTCATTTTAAAAGTTTGCTCCCCAACAGATTGAAATGTCTTACTTTCTCTCTATCTTCTTGGTCCTTTTCTTCCTTTCTTTTGCTTTCTTCCTGATCCTGACGCTGTGAAGAAGGCCGCCCAGCTTGGGCAATGTTCACGGAAAGAGATTTTGCAGAGAGAGGAGAAATGTGTGGCGTTGAAAACATCTCACGGTGAAGTTGGACTGGTTCGACTAAGGTGGCCGAATGTTCTCCTAAAGAATTCTCTGTCTAGCACCATGGACTTCTTGTAGCCACTAGGAAAATGGACTTGTCTTTCTTGGCGATCCTTGAAGCCGACGATCTGGCAGAGGGTGAGATAATTCATCACAAATGTGGAGATTTTTCATCATCAATGCTCATGTTCCCAGACTCTTCGGGTTACTGAGGGTGTGTTCAGAGGACACTTGGAAGGACAAAGTGATGAGGTTTATGATGTTGGACAGTATAAACAGAAGTGTCATTTCTTCAAAATCTAACTCAATCCATAAAGGGAGATACCTTTACTTGGAAGTATTGCTCCAAGGAGGAGCTCCATGGGGATTTACACTGAAAGGCGGACTGGAGCATAAAGAACCATTAATCATCTCCAAGGTAACCCTGTTTATTTGATTTAAATAAGAGTTTAACAAGAATTTAAAGCAACTTTAACAGTTAGAATTCCTTGCAAGAGTACCAGGTGAAGCAAAGCATTGATTCCAGGAAAGAATGAGGAAGGAGTGAGTTTTTGTCTTGTGATTTGTAGGTTGTTAACATTTTTAGGCCATTGTGAAGCCAAAGGGAAAAAAAAAACAATAACACGTATTTGGCACAGATCACCAGGTACTGTTTTATATAGATCCTTCGAAAGAGCAAATTTCAAAGATATGGAGACAATCTACATTAATGGCTTAAAACCATTTTTCTCTACTCAAGGTGGATCCTGTGAACTTCTGAGCTAATTTGTAACCAATAACAATCGAGATGCTTGGATTTAACATGATTTAGGCTCATTCGTTTCAGGATTAAAGTTATTTACTCCTCCTGATTAAGGTTATTTAAATCGAATGGGTGCTTAAAATTACATATTTCAGCTGAAAAGTTTAATAAGGCTCCAGTAAGGGTTGCAAAAAAAGACCCAATCACCTATATATTTTGGTCCTTTGGGTTAATATGTTCTGCATTGTTTTTTAAAATGTAAATGTTTTATTTGCAGTAAATGTTAGTTGCAAATATAGAATGTGCTAGACTTGTGCTAGCTGCATAAACATTTTATTTGAATCAGTATGAATCAACTGACAAGCACATATAAGCCATCAGGTTTTATTGAACGTTTTGCAAAAGGGATAAAGAGTTTTCTGAGTATAAAAACATTTACATTTTTTGCGCCATTCAAAGTTTAAAATAAAAAAAATCTTAATATGTTGGCTAAAAGGGGGATTTGTTGCTTTCTGAATCTTCCAGTTCAGAGTAGAAGCTTTCTTTCAACAATGTGCTCCAAAATTTTTCCTTAATGATTTGTTAGTTAAGCCACTATTCGATTTACATGTTAAACTATAGCTAAATACCACTTCATGGTTTAACATTGAGTGCGTGTGAAATTATTTTTAGAATCCTTTGGCATTTCTTTTAAAGAAATGCAAATCCCTTTTCAAATGAGGGTGGCCTGATACGCCTCTTGAACAGGAAAAAATTATCAAGTGGGGGATGTGGTAAATTATTGTTTGTGTTAATTTATCTCCAAATAAAAGTTAGCTAGGTATCTTTTGAGACTCAAGCTTTGAGATCTGTAGTTCAGTTCCATAGATTGATAGTATGAAATTTTAGTTGCGACTTTTTTCCCCTAAATTACTTTAATTACCAAAGAGGTAAAGATATTCAAAGAATTAATAAAAGATTTCTAACATACCAGCTATCTAGTAATTTTGCTTTTTCTTTCGGGATTTTGTAAAGGGGAAAGCCTAAAGAAAAAAAATTGGGTTAGGTTTAAACTAGTTGTTTTTAGCTTACTTGGGAAATTGGGTGCCAGACCAACAGTTGTAGAAATTTCTCAAAACTGCTGCGCTATTTCTCAGTAAATAAAGATGAGGTATATACTTACTCTGTAATATTAGCCTTGGATTTCATTTCACTTTCTTCATTTAAGGAAGTGAAAAGTACTGAAAGAGAAGCATTTAAAAGGAGTTCCTTTCAAACAATAATAGAACATATATACAGGTAATCCTCGACTTACAGCAGTCCATTTAGTGACTGAAATTACAGCAGCACTGGAAAAAACTGACTTTTGACCGTTTTCCACACAACCATTGCAGCATCTCTGTGGACATGTGATCAAAATTTGGACGCTTCGCAACTGGCTCATATTGATAACAGTTGCAGTGTCCAGGGTCAGGTGATCACTTTTTGTGATCTTCTTACGAGCAAAGTCAATGGGGAGACCAGATTCACTTAACAGTTGTGTTACTAGCTTAATAACTGCCGTGATTCACTCTACAACTATGGCAAGGAAGGTCGTAATGTGGGGCAAAACTCACTTAACAACTGTCTCGCTTAATAACAGAAATTTAAGGTTCAATTCAGAGGTGGGTTTCAGCAGGTTCTGACCAGTTCTGGAGAACCGGTAGTGAAAATTCTGACTGGCCCCGCCCCCATCTATTTTCTGCCTCCCAAGTCCCAGCTGATCGGGAGGAAATGGGGATTTTGTAGTAACCTTCCCCTGGATTGGGGAGGGAATGGAGATTTTACAGTATCCTTCCCCTGGAGTGGGGTGGGAATGGAGATTTTACAGTATCCTTCCCCTGCCATGCCCACCAAGCCATGCCACGCCTACCAAGCCACACCCACAGAACCAGTAGTAAAAAAAATTGAAACCCACCACTCGTTCAATTGTGGCTGTAAGTTGAGGACAAAATGCAGTGTAGCAAAAGGACATGCTGGTGTCAAATTAAGCACGATAGCAATAGCTCTTAGATTATACTGTATAATAGTCCCGCCTGGACTACTGCAATGCTCTCTACATGGGGCTCCCCTTGGGGTGAATCCGGAGGCTCCAACTGGTCCAGAATGCGGCTGTGCAGGGGATTATGGAACGATGGGGTGCTCCCATATGACACCCCTCCTGCGCAAGCTGCACTGGCTTCCGGTGGTCTTCCGGGTGCGCTTCAAGGTGTTGGTGACTACCTTTAAAGCGCTCCATGGCTTAGGGCCTGGGTATCTACGAGACCGCCTTCTGCCGCCAATAGCCTCCCACCGGCCAGTACGCTCGCACAGAGAGGGGCTCCTCAGGGTGCCGTCGGCCAGACAATGTCGGCTGGTGACCCCCGGGGGGAGAGCCTTCTCTGTGGCGGCACCCGCCCTCTGAAACGACCTATCCCCAGAGATACGTATGATCCCGGACCTCTGGACTTTTCGTCGGGCCCTGAAAACTCACTTATTTCATCTAGCCGGGCTGGCTTGATCCCATCTTTTGGTTTTAATTCGTAATTTATTTTATTGGGGTGTTTTTAAATTGTGGGCCAAAATTATTTAATATCTTTTTTAATTGTTTTAAATTTTGTATGCTATGTTTTACCTTGGCTGTTCACCACCCTGAGTCCTGCTGGAGAAGGGCGGTATAAAAATAAAATAAAATAAATAAATAAATAAATAAAAATAAATACTTACATTTATTTACAAATAAATAAATACAGCCCTCTCTAAGCGGTTTACAGAATCAGCCTATTGTCCCCAACAATCTGGGTCCTCATTTTACCCACCTCAGAAGGATGGAAGGCTGAGTCAACCTTGAGCCTGGTGACATTCGAACTGCCAAATTGCAGGCAGCTGGAAGTCAGCAGAAGTAGCCTGCAGTACTGCACTCTAACCACTGCGCCACCGCGGCTCATACTGTAGCTTGACATATGAGGGTCCTCTATCACAGTGGTCCCCAACCTTTTTATCGCCGCGGCCCGCTGAGTGCGCGCAGGGGTGGGGGCACGGCCCAGGAGCTTTTGCGCACGGCCCATTGCGCACGGCCCAGGAGCTTTTGCGCACGGCCCAGGAGCCTTTGCGCTGCAGCGTTCATGTCCCCCGGCCGCTGCGCGGCCCGGTGCCAGGTACTCCACGGCCCGGCACCGGTCTGCGGACCGGGGGTTGGGGACCACTGCTCTATCATATATCATCCGCTCCTGTTTTTCTTCTATTTCTTCAGCTTGTTTTATTTTTAATCCCAAATTAATTAAGGAGGGACATGTAGAATAATTGCTCGTGTGTTTTGACTGACAGCTCAAGGAGCTGTCGTCTACTGGAAGCAGCCTTCATAACTGTAATGTGAAGATTAGAATCTTCTTTGTAAAATTGTTCATATTTCTCTTTTGAAGCCAGTTTGGTCTATATATTGAGGATAATCTTGGCATATAGAAGATTCGGCAATGTTTGGATTTTATTGGAATGAGATAGTTCAGAATGGGTGGGAATACCACTGCAGCACCTTTTATGAGCCATTAAAGCAACCGTATCTTGGAATTGCAGCTGCTTTAATGAGTTAATGAGTTAGGGGATGCAGTGGCTCAGTGGCTAAGACGCTGAGCTTGTCGATCGAAAGGTCGGCAGTTCAGCGGTTTGAATCCCTAGTGCCGCGCAACAGGGTGAGCTCCCGTGACTTGTCCCAGCTTCTGCCAACCTAGCAGTTCGAAAGCACGTAAAAAATGCAAGTAGAAAAATAGGGACCACCTTTGGTGGGGAGGTAACAGCGTTCCGTGCACCTTTGGTGTTGAGTCATGCCGGCCACATGACCACGGAGATGTCTTCGGACAGCGCTGGCTCTTTGGCTTTGCAACGGAGATGAGCACCGCCCCCTAGAGTTGGGAACGACTAACACATATGTGCAAGGGGTACCTTTATCTTTACCTTTACCTAACGAGTTCTACTCCTACAGTCCTGCAAGTTCCTAAGAGCCTCTTTCTAAGCAAATGAGAAACAGACATTGAATTTCCTTCCAACATTTTCCAAAATACTTCTCCTGAATTGTATTCAAAGCAAAGAACCTCAGGAGTGCGTGTATGATATCTGGGTGTATTTTTTAAAAAACTATTTGGCTATACAGGTAGTCCTCAATTTACAACCATTTGTTTAGTGACTGTTTGAAGTTACAACAGCACTGAAAAAAAAAAAGACTTTTGATCGCTTTTCACATTCACAACCATTGCGGCATCCCTCTGGTCATGTGATCAAAATCCGGACGCTTGGCAACTGGTTCATACTTATAACAGTTGCAGGGTCATGTGATCTAAGCTTGGTGGTTTTCTTGTAGACGTTTCATGATCCAACTAGGTAACATCATCAGTGCTAGTAGCGTCAGCAATGATCTTGCCTGGTTTGGTCATGAAACTTCTACAAGAAACCCATCAAGCTCAAAGGGAAGCCCACAACAAGAAATAAAGAATATCAAATCACTGCTTATGATTTGAAGCAACCTAGATGTCAGCGTTTCGCTGGCATAGAGAGCAGAGAGAGAGAGAGAGAGATAAGTTCTGGACTTCTGCCTGCTAAATCCCTTTGATGTCCAGTTATCGTGGAAATGACGGGGGGGGAGACATTCCTGGGAAATGACGAGACAAGGAGTCTGAAGAATGACT